TCAATAATGTATGTACAATTGTATTTGCCGAATGTTCGAATAGAACAAATTGCAAATAAAGCAGATGTTAGAAAAAAAAACAACATTCTTGTTAAACTTAACACCTTTTTCACATTAACATAAAAAACAGCCGCCTTTTATTATTAGATATGCATGCGGCGCTAGAATTGCATACAAAATAATTAATAGAGCAATAGCAGAAGAAGTGAAAACAAATTATACTGTATTTGTAAAGTTTTAATCTCTTCAAAAATTAGGGGAGAAAATTATGGACGTGTTAAGGAAATTCAGGGAAGAATCAAATGTAATTGTATAAGATGATGCGACAGAAGTTTCGTAACTAATTGGCAACGATTTGTAGTTTTGCATCGAGTATTTATGCTAATGCAAATGTGCTATATGCATTTTTGGTGCATATTAGCAAAAAAGCGTAAAAATGAGTACTAAAAGTTAACCATTAGCATAAAAACCAGCAAGTATTTGTTACAGCGATTATAATTTTGAAATGGCAATAAGACCAGTTCATAAGGCATCCGGCGAAGGAGCAGGAACGCTACTCTTATTCAGTTCGCACGCCACGCGGGTGGCACAGCTGCCGATGCGGACCCACTTTACCTGGGCGAGAGCGTTCGTTCCCCAAGACACGTCCGGCACAATCTAAGACACTGTACCCAACTTTCACCACTTTTGTCTTCGAAAAACAGAAAGGAACGTTTTCGTAAATTCTGGCATCCCCTTACCATTGAATTGTCAATTCAGTAACATTAGTAAAGACAATTCGAGGAAATTTTCATAGCTGTGAAAACGTATAGAGCATTTAGCATTGTATGTTCGGATGAGTAACGGATAATGTGTTAAAACGAGCATATTTGGAGAATATTACAATACTATTATGTTTCATAGTTACTATAATATATTTTTCGATCCATTTCCATGTTTGCCAAAGCTATCAGTATCGTATTATTTATTAACTTTTAATGATTTTTACTTTCTCGCATACTGTAGAATATGGCTAAAGCTCTTCGGTTATGTTCGTGAATACACTGAACACCTTATACAACGAATTCAATGCCAAAAAGATATTTTCATTTAAAGGTTTGAATAAAATATATATTGCTTGAAACTATTTGATTTTCAATCAAATGTTCAATGATTTCAAATAAGTTTTTCAAAAAAAGATGACTGAGATGTGTTGATTTGGAGATAAATTGTGGTGTAAATAGTATTTCATAACCGTTACTAAAGGAGAGCTCCACTAGTTTGAAAACGTCTCAGGGGCTTCACGTCCATTTGGGCTTACCATCAAAATTAAAATATTGGTTTCAAATTCAAGGGTCCGCGAACATCTGATAGATTGAGGAATAAGCTAGATGCAAGATGAACGGTTTAGCATTGTAGCCCAGCCATCATATATTTGCACGGCAAAAAAATAATAATTCAATGTTAAAGTCACAAAAATAAGTTTTTCGCAAAAATATCGTTTTCTAGCACTTGGAGGTTAGTTGAGGTGATTAGAAAAAATAATGTTTATGTAATTATCAATAAAATTGGTTCTGTTCATTTTTCACTTATGACAAACCGTTTTAATATAAATCAGCGGCGAAGTTTCCGTACAAAGCATATTAACCAATTCCGTCTTGCTATATCTTGTTTTGAATCACTTAGTATCATTTTTCATCATTAATGATACGGAATTAAATGAATCTCTCGTGAAAACAGTTTCTAACATCCACGCGATGAAAATTACATATAACAAAAAAATTCAGTCAACCGCGGCCAGCTGTGAATGCAACTCAGGTGACTGGCGGAGAGCGATGCCGTCTTAGGCGACGCTCATGTTATAGAAGCTGTCATTATAATTGTTCACTGCCCTGAACGCTCTGTACTCCGGTATTCCAGGTTTTGCGAGGCCTTCCTCTTTTATTCCTTCCTGGAGGGGACCAGTCGAGGACATTCTTGGGCCACCTTGTATCTGGCATTCTTTTCAGGTGGCCATACCTTTGTAGCATTTTACTTTCTAATCTGTCCACCACCGATTCTGATTGCTGCATCCGTTTCCGAATTACTACGTTTCTAATTTTTTCCATTCTAGAAATTCGGCAGCTCCTTAATCCATCCATTTCTACTGCACATAGTTTCTCTTTCTGGCGATCCGTCAAGACCCAACTCTCTCCACCATAGGTTAGAATACTTTCAATAATAGTTCGTACAATAACCTTTTTTTTCTTACATCAATTTCCCGACTCCATAGTACTCCATTCTTATAGCTCCCCTTGCTTGCTTAATGCGGTCTTCCATATCCTTTTCACAATTTTCAGACGTATGCAGAATTGTACCAATCCTTCCTACTCCGTGTACTTCCCAATCAGTAGCTTCTCCTCCTACTATCAGATACTCTGTTTTTTTAGATTTAATTTACGCCCACCTGTACATACGCCTCTACTATTTTCCGGGTCATATATTCTGCATCGTCTCTATCTTGAGCTATTATTACCAGATCATCCGCAAATAGTGAATGTATTGCTTGTCCGTTTACAACAACGCCCATTCCTTGAAATGAAGCATTCCAACCTTTAAGGTCATCTTCTACATAAATTTTAAAAAGAGGAGACATTCCACATCCATGCCTTAAACCTTTAGTGGTTTTAAATTCCTCAGAAATTCTATTTCCGATTTTTACCACGGCTCGGGCGTCCGCATACATTTTCTTTATGAGTTGAAAGAGCGATTCTTCAATTTTAAAATTTCGTAACCCTCACGATTCATGTATAGGCACTGAGTCATATGCTTTCTCCAGGTCAATATAAACCAGATGAAGCTCTCTTCCCTACCGACTCATTTTCACACACATTTGTTGTAATATAAAAATGTTATCTATACAGGACTTCCCTTCTGTAAAACCAGCTTGTTGTTCTGAGATTTTCATGGACACCTTAGCCTCCAATCTATTCTTCGCTATTTTGCTCAAGAGTCTTGCAATTGATTACACTTATACCCCGACATTTGTTCATATCTTTCTTACTTCCCTTCTTGCAAATAGCCGAAATATATGATAGATTCAATTGAGTTCGGAAATCGTCCATAAATAATATCTGATTGAACAGTTTGGTCAATACTCTTAATCATCTTATGTCCACTATACTTTCACAAATTCATGGGAATTCCGCCTGTTCCCGCCGCTTTACCATTTTGTGAATATTTTAGGGCTTTCCATACTTCTTTCTCGAGTATAGGTTCTACCTCTTTCATGCATCGCTTTATATTTCTAGTAGTCCCAGTTGTTTTCACTGAAATCTATTTTCCGTCAGCATCTCAGAAAAATCCTTCTTCCATTCCAGTAATGTAATCATATTCAAACTTATTTTATTCACATTCGGCGCTCTTATTATAGTTCTCCAAGCTGGTCTTGTTTCACCGTATCCCACTATATGTTCTATCCCATAACATATCCTTTCCCCAGCCTCCTCTTTATATTGCCGCACAATCTTTTTGGTTTTCTTATTTTAGTAAGTAATACCTATCTAAATCTTCTTGACGCTTAGAATTGAACCAGATTCCATAAGCTTCCTTCTTCTTAATTGCCGCAGCGGCTTCTCCATTCATCCATTCCACTCTTCCCTTACTATCCCAAGAGTTTCAGCAGCTGTCTCATGTACCCATGTCTTCATATAATCATAGAGTTCTTGAGCTCTCCAATCATCTTGAATATCTAATTTAGTTGCAAGACATCTCTGATAGAGATCCCTAACACTTTAATCTTGCAATAGACGAAGCATATATCTCGGTTCATTAATTTTTGTTTCTTCTTGTGTAAATGACATATCTTTTTGTGATGTTATCCTTGGGAATGCTATTTTAGTAATAAGGTGATGGTCTGTACCAAATTCAGCACCTCTAAATACTGACATCTTAAACTATTATCTTTCTATTTTGTTTAACCATAACATAATCTTTTATAGCTTTTATTCTTTTCCTCCTCTGTTCCCAAGTAAACTTATGAATGTCTGTGTGGTAAATATAAGAATTCATAATCGAACAATTCTGCCCTATACAGAATTCTATTAATCACTTTCCATTGTCATTTATCATTGTTTCACCTCATTTACCCATCTTCTTCTTTATTTCCAATGCGCCCATTTAGATCTCCCATAATTATAAGTTCATCTGTTATAGAGACACTATCCATCACCTCTATTAGATCTTCAAAAAATTCATCCTCCTCCATAGTCAGGGAGTCATCAGTAGGGGCATATACTCCAATAACTACAAGGGTAATTCTGCATATTTTAATTTTTATTCTTATTAATCTTTCATTTATGGCTTCCCAATTTTGAATCCTATTTTTCCACTTCTTCTTTACTAATAAAGAACTCCTGCCTAGCTCTCTCCCTCTTTTCTACTCCACTCCATAGATGTAAATATCCCTTAATTTCCTCGTCCTTTCCCTTTCTTCTTTGTTTCCATAAGAACAACCACTTCCAATCCCTTATCTTTAATGTCCTCTACAATCTCCACCAATTTCCCTGAAAGGCTCTGCACATTCCATGTTTCAAAAGAAAAAGTCCGTCTTCGTAGCCATTGCCGATGTCCATTGTTTCCGAGGTTGTATTTATTCCAGCTAACATAGCGTTTCGGTTTCTACAAGGTAGGGTTGCTGGCCCACACGCTTAATCCCCAACCTAGAGGACCAGGGGACTTATCTTCCGGCTTCCCTTGCCGTAGAGAGGTGGTCTTCACCGCGGCTTAAACAAAGCCTCTCTCCCCATTGACAAAGAAGGAAAAGAACACATATGATAGTAAAAGAAAGAAGATGGAAAAATGAAAGGCTCCCTAGGCTTTTGCAACCTAATCACTTCAGGGCCGAAACAAACAAGAGGATATCAAGAGAGATAGAAAGTATAAAAGAAGTGTGGCACGAGTAAGTAGAAGCAATGCCACCCTATTGGAAAGGACCTCACGATACACGAGTGTGAACTGTGGGGGGTAAATTCTAGAAAATGGATATTGGTCAAATATGGGTAACAGGATAAGGTATAGGACAAAGTAGAGTAGGATGTTGTGGAACACCCTTCGTCTGACTCCTCCACTGAGGTCTGTACAGCATGGGCTACTTTAAGGCAGTGTCCCATGGAGGAGGATACATAATTCAAATTTTTTTCTTTTTCTTTGTGCATTTATAAACTCAGTACAAATGAAAAATCTTTTTAGGGAAATAGCTGTACGTATGTAATATGACTTCTTTCCAAAGAAAAATAATGGTTGTGCCAATGGAGATAATTATATTTTTGAAAACACATTACATTACACAATTTTGCCCAAGTCTTTTCTAATCATCAGCAGACTTGGACTGTTTATGAGAATTTTGTTTCTACAAGAGTATGGGAATCTCGCATCCTGCTTTTTATTGTTACCAGCTCATGAGAAAGAATCTTGTCACTGGCTTGCTCTCCCTCCATGACTCTTCTTGAGTCAGCAAAAACGACTCGCAGCACAAGCCAGACATTCAGACTGAATTGACTACCTTTAGTAATAAATTTTTCAACATGAAAAAGAACGGGTCCAAGATATGATGCACATAATGATTTGAATTTATCATTTCCGAAATGTTACCAAACCTCTTGGTGATGTGTCTACACTGCGTACATGAATGTCACATCTGCACTGTTAGAACTGACAAAGACATTTGTTCACCTGCATTATTGGCTTATATAAGTACATGTGGATTCCATAAAGATATACTACACAACCATGTAAATTACTTTCAAATAAATAAGTAATCATTTTTACGAATTGTAATTGCAGTTAAATAAAAGTATCACTTAGACATGTAAAATGATTGAAGTCAAATCACCATTTCAAAAACGTTGGATAACACTTTGTGGAAAACATATGCACAGTATTGAATATTTTTATGACATGTTAAGTTTATTTGAATGTTTATAGAGAATAAAAAGGCTTACAAGCATACAAATAACATTGTTTTTGTTTCATTCTTGGGTGTAGTTCTACTAGGCTTCTTCCAGCATATAGACAAGAAGTTTGAGAAGAAAGAAACTAACAAAAAGTCAAATCGCGTCAAGTCAATTCAAAGCTTAGTTTTTAAATATTGGAGAAATGAAATATAATGAAGATAAGCCCACAGAAGCATGAATTCAAAATATAGCAAAGTCTGCTTCAAGCTTTTGCTTGAAACGGCATTTACATGCTTGCAATTTGCAGAAAGTAGTACTATTCCCTTTATCAAGAGAGCATTTCAAAATTGAGGCCACTGACATCTACATTAAGCGAGAAAATTCCTTTTCCTAGTCACTATATCAAATGACTTGAAGGCAATTTTTGATACCAATTCTACACTGCACCACCAGAAAACAGGAAAGGAAAGATAATTGTCCCATTTTAGAACAGACCATGCTACTAATAGAATATCATACTACTGACACCTGCAGAAATTGCTTTGTAACTTCTTTTGAAGTATATATACACTTTCCACAAAACATTAAAAATACTCTATGTTTTCAGAATTTGTAATTAGTTCTCACAATCTACATTACTCTAATCAGCATCCAGTCAAAACTGATTGGAAAATCCTGTAAAAAAAACTCAACAGAAAATTTTGAATTTCTCCATACTTTAGCAAAATAAGTTTCATTAAAATATGAGTAGATTGTGAAACATAAAAATTACAAGTTCCAAGACTAATGTCTGCCTTTTCAAAAAATAAGAGAAAATGAATAGTAGTTTAACAATTATTCATTAAATGATTTATGTGTTTAACAAAACATTGATTACACACAAAAGATCAGGTGTTCTTTTCTACAATAAATGCTTGTTTCTCCGGTTTTTGAATTACACACATCTTCTCTACAGAAAATATGATTATATGTCACAATGTGCAAGTGGGATATTTGGAAAGCAAAGTCCCTTTACAATTATAATGACATGTAAGTAGCATAAAGATAAATTTATGCCACTTTCTATTCAGTTCCAATGAGGATGATTCGATTGCTGATCATAATGTCGACATTACATCTCAGTGGAAATGACTAAGTTATCAAGAAACAACAATACACATTGTTATAAAAATTATTGTTTTATAATTAGGAAATGGTATAAAAATCTCAAGCACACATTATTACAACGTTTCCAATTACATTTTCATTCTTTAAGGTACACAAGCATTGATGAAAACAATTTCTCATATACCTTTGATAACAAAGATTCATGAAAGCAACAGACAAAAAAGGATTCCTATTCTTACAGTGAAAATAATTGGGGATTCATTTTAATTACCTACAACAGATAAATGTTAATTCCATGTTCCTAGTTATGAATTCTCTTTACAAACTCAAATGCATGGGCAACAAGTGCCACGTTTAAAGCTCCAGACTCCAACATTTCTGGAACTTTTGACATTGAATTTGGTCTTTACACTTTGAGAAATAATTGTATTATTCTCTTGCAGCCCACACTACAAATATCTACTTCATATAAAATTACTTTAATAATTATACAAATTTGCTTAATTTAGTTTTCTTATTCAGCATCTTTTGATGCAGACTTCTCTGTACTGTGATCACTTTCACCTCCACTTTTTATCCCTGATGATTCTGAAAATAAAGCACACCAAAGACATTAGAGAGAGAGAGAACAAAAAGTATCTGACGTTAGTGGAATTCAGAAGCGCGATTCAGGGAGGGGGGGGTAATCGTCCCCCCCCCCCAACGTTGGGACAATTAAAAAAATATATATTTAGACATTTCATATCTCACGGATCTTCACATTTATATTATGAAAATTTTCTTTTTTCTGTATTTTGAGAAAAAAATCCCTTAACTGTATTTGAGTAACTGTGAGTGTGTTTATTCGTCACTTATCTCTTCCCGTGCACTGATCGAAACGTATGAGGTGTCATTTGATGCATCTTGGTCTTCTGGTGGGAAACTGCTAATTTGTTTTTGGATTCGGACCGAAGACTCTAAAAATATTCCAAAAACTGAGTTTTGGCTTGTTTTAACACTGCCATCTTAGTGAGTATGCCGGGAATGAAACCAACGCCACCCAAATAGATCTACGTAGGTTACATTGAATGCAATAACTAAATCCCTGTAGCAGGTTTAATTTAATTTGCATCCGTATTATCGTCTTTTTACAAATACATTTGCAATAACACTGAAGAACTTTATTTTTTAAGAGCATTTTTGTGCATATTAGCAAAAAACATTAAAAAAATGTAGTTGTACTAAATTCTAACCATTCAGCATCAGTCGGTCTTTCAAGCACTTTAATAATAATACGTTGTTGGTTAAGTATTAATAAGAATAAGTTGTTGGTTAAGTTTTAATTAGAATAAGTTTTTAGTTCTGTTTTAATAAGAGTAAGCTGTAGTTACCTTTTAATACGAATGAGTTGCAGTTACGTTTTAATAAGAACTTAATTTTGAAATTGCAATATTACCAGTTCATATCCCCAATGGAGGTAACATACACAACCATTTGGGGTTGAAAAAACATTAACTATGATTCATTGGTACATCCAATGCTGGAGACTGTAAAACATATTGAAACAAAGTTATAGATGTCATAGATTTTCAACTGATGAAAATACTTTTAAAACAATGTACAGGACCAGTGATGCCACATTCAACTAGCCCCTATTTTGTACTTGAGTAAGCGTGCCCGTGGATCCAACACTCACAGATAGATCACTTTCCATGCACGAATCGTGGCATGAGATGTCATTTGTCACGCTTTGATCTCCTGGTGGAGAACTGATAATTTGTTTTCAGATCCGGACAGAAGATTTTAAAAAAATTTCCAAATATGTGGTTGGCTGCGGCAAACTTATTAAAATTGAAGAACTTCAAGTGAATACAAAGAAAATAAAACTGTGAGTAATGCTACAAAATAAAAGCGCATTTGACTTATTACCAGGGGGTGGATTTAAATGAAATGTCATTTTTTTCTTTTCACTTTAAAACAATGCCTTTTAGTATAGAAATTAATTTTATATTATGACCAAAAGAAATGTCCCATTAGTATAAGTTATTCCTTTGCATTTTTCGAGTTCCACTAATAAGTCATTTTTTCCTTTTTACAACATAATTTTTAATGCATTTTTCGCTGATTTAAATGATTTTAATATAATTTTAATGGTACTTGCTCCAAACAATATTTAAGAGATGCAACGAATGTTCACCATAAATTTCTTGAGTAGCCCATTCGATTTCTTTGATCATATATTGAAATGTCAAACATTGTGAGTACTACGTAATCTAAGGTTCCTGTGATGCCTATGGGCGCCACTGTCAGTGTCAAAATAGTTCAAAACAAGTATTCAAGATGCGTTCACTTGCATGATGAAACCTCGATTACATCAGTAACATATCCAACAGCTTGAGTTGTTCATCTGAAATGATTTTTTCAATTTTTTATGACATTTTTTTGTTGTTTTTGGTGCATTTAATCATAATATGCAAATGTTCCTTGCATTTCTAAACAATAAAGTACAATACAATAAAAAATTGTATTTTAAAAACATTTGAAGAGCATTTTATTTATCATTTTTGGTCTTTTAATTTTTTAGGTCACGAAAATGTGCATTTTTGTGAATACTACCAAAAAAAGCATACAAAGTACTAAATTCTAACCATCCACACCCTAAACTGAATGTAATACTCTGAAAGCATATTTTTTATTGTATTGTACTTAATTGTTTAGAAATGCAAGGAACATTTGCATATTATGATTAAATAAATTATTTCCATTACAAATTTTCAAGGATTTTTAATAGTTCAAATGCCGAAAAATGGGTGTTTCTCATTAAACAAAGTTTTGTGAATATGATAAAAATTATGTACTTTCCAGCATTACTTTTAATCTATGAAAGCATAGTAAGCAAACAGAAAACTTTTGGCCATTGTACATGTAAAACTATTTTTTTTCACGGATCTTCATAAGAATAACATTTTCAAAACTGGGAAACGTATGGCTTCTGAAAAGTCACCAAGTGACTAACTTTTCTGTGATCCAGTAATTCTACCGTGAACATACAGTGCATTAGAGCCCAAAACAATGCGCATTTACAATTTTTGAAGAAGTGGGAAAATTAAAATATGCCGTTGAGTATATTTTGTAAGTATGTTTTCCAGTATAATGTAAGATATACTGTGACAAATGCATGATATTTGTTTAATGCCAATTGTACACTGAGAAAAAAGCAAACCTGTTTTCTCCACTGAATATGTTCTGTTATATTCAATGATATTAGAGTAATTTCACATTTCTGTTGTTATAAAAGTGAATATGTTGTTTTAATCATAATGTCGGTATCATTATCAATAAAGTTTCATTGTTTTTTTGGACACATCAATTTTCATTATAAATGTATAATAAACATTCACATAAATGCACAAAATTGTGGCAGACATTTTCCAAGAGTATGTGATTTAAAATGGTAAAATTTATTATTTTTTTTCCTTCAGCTCAGCAATCCAAAATATCTAAAAAAAAAATAATCATGTTTTGTGTTTTAAGAACTTTTCAAATGTCTTCGAAGTCTGTTCTAGGGTTCTAAGACAGTAAAATTATTTTTTGTTATTTTTAAAAAAACAACAAATAAACAAACTAACTTTGCGTTTGATACTGAAAAAATATATTAAAACAATGTATTTCTAATAGTATACGTTTATTTTCTTATAATTCATATTTTTTCAATCAGATAAAATGGTAAGAGAAAGAGAGAGAGAGACACAGAGCGACAGAGAGAGAAAGAAAGTGGGACGGAAAAGAGAATGTACAGAAAAATCTAAGCCAGAACTGATTGGGACCAAAAATCTGGTTTAGTGAGGTTTTAGTTTTATGCTGAGTTGCCCAGTTTATGACATGTGTTATAATGATATTTCTGTCTTGAAACTAGTAAATTTCATGATAATTATAATTATTAAAAGACATTAACATATTTATGGAAGAAATCTCCAATAGATTAATATTAAACATCTTTCTGAAAATTACAGTTTCACCCTTTCACGCACAAGGGACATATTTATCTCAAGGATCTGTATTTAATTTCCTCTGAACCAGAAGTACTTTGAGTTGTGAGATGAATACCTATTCCTTTGTGAATATTCCTTTAGTATGTTGAAATGTTGACAATCGCTATTTTGTGAGCTATACCGTGAATAGAAAGTACTGGTTTGCAAACTACAAATAGTGAAGATTTCAGAAACAGTAATTTCTGCAGTTCCAGATTTGCTTCACATGTAATGTGAAAATATTCTTCTCAGGTGTGTATATTGTGGATTGTGAGTTAGTAGTATTGAAACATTTTATCAAGACTCCAAATTTAGATTTTAACATGTGTACAAAGGTGGAGATATATCTCAACAGGATAGGGAAGAATTAGATAAAATTCCAGTATTCAAATGGAAATAATACTTATCAACCATTAGTGACTCTAAACTCATATCTTCTGTTGTTACAAATTTTGATTATTTTGTAGATAAGATTTATGCCTAGAATCTATGAATTATGATATTTAGAATAAAAATGTGTACATGGTTAGTAGTGAAAGCCATTTTACGGATGAACTATGTGATGGGGTACCATGTATTACTTACTATAAGAAGCTACTGGTCCACTCAACCACATTTACTATGAAATGTCTTGTCTCCTGTTCCCACTGCGACTGTTAAGTGGCAAAAGGCAGGATCTAATAAAAATATTTATGTTGTTTGCCCTGAAATAGTTCTGAAATAAGATAAAAATATGGGCAGAGTTGATCTGATGGATCAACAAAAGGTTTTCTATGGATCAACAAAAAATCTACAATAATATTTAATCTTCCTTTGTTATTTGATATTTTAGATATTGCTGTAAATAATGCTTACATTGTCTACACAAAATTGCTTGAACAGAGTTGTGTAGAAGAGTTGCGATTGTCATGCCTACAGTACTTTCATCTTGTAGCTCAAACAATAATTGGTAATTTTTTGTACCATACCCTCTACTGTCATGACTTTGAAGAGAGTAATGAAAAACGATACCATAAAGTTTCTCATATTATGATCGAAGTTAGCACTCAAAAGAAATTTGTCAATTGTGCTAAAGCACATGCAGAAAATCGCACAAATATTGTTATGTTCTACATGCAATAATCGTTTATGTTTCACAAATGACAGGAATTGCTTTGATAAATATCACACTTGAAAATATATGAATTACTTATAAGATTAATGAAGTTAAAAATTACAAATTTGTTATTTCATTTTAATTGGTGAGATTCGATAAGTTTCCTGTAAACTATAACCATTCAGGACATTGGGATACACATGTCCCTTACGATTTTAACAAAGCTATACAATCTTTTTGTCAAAACAATTATATGATTGTTTAACATTAAATAAAGAGTTTGAAAAGATTTTAATATAATATTGCCTTTTCATTCAATTTTGTGCGTGAAAGGGTTAATGCATTATATAAATTAAAATAACGTAATATTTAATCATTGTTTTTGCAATTATACTAAAACCTTCATGTTCAACAATGGTGTTTTGATATAAACAAATAACAAAATTGGAATTGATGTTTAAACTTTAAAAGTTACAAGAACTACAAAAGATCATGTATGCAATTTACCTTCACTTGGGGGTTCAGATGCACTAACAGCACCTCTGTCCACCCCCGATTCTTCCATTGGAGGTCGATCAACTTCAGGTGTTGGTGCACCATATGGAGTAACACCACTTTCAACATTCTGTAAATGAAATATATATTAAGAACATTTTCAGGAGCAAAAAGGGAACAACTATATTGGGGTACAAATGAGATTTTTGTATTAGCCAATCATGCTAAAATCTAAGAGTACTATTCTCCTTTCAGTTGAGTCCAGTGTGCCCACTGGTCATCTGAATCTGTTTTCCTTGCATTTTCTCTTAGGTTTCAAGATTTCTTTGCTTTAAAGCATATAGGTAGCTGGGTAAGAGTAAAACATACCTCTAAGTGAAATGAAGTAGAACAAGAAAAGAGTCCAATCTAAAATCAGAATTTTTCAACATGGATCCAACTGAAAATTCTATACAGATCTACCACACAACTATTTCCTCCCAGTTTAAATTTTCAATGGCTAAGCTCTGAAGTTTAGAAATGGATTTTGTTTCATTAAACTTGAAAAATTATAATTCTAAAACTAAATTGGGAAAGTATTTAAAGAAAACCCCACAACTAAGACTAGGCCATTGGATTTATAAAAAAGTGTTTTGTAAATAAGACATTTATTTTAATTGTTTATAATTTAGTGAATTTTAAGTATATCCTGGAAGTTTTCAAAACTGCCTTTTTGTTATTGTTAGGATTTTAAGACTTTAAACAATTAGGAATAACATAACAGAACTTCTGAAGTTGTTTTAAAAGAATTTCAGGTTTGAATTTTATCAATCTTTTTACAATAATTACTTTTAAATAATGATTTTTCAGTGTTTCCTGTACATTATGCCCCTACTTTAAGCCAACATAAATGCCTTTTTTGTGTGCCTATTTTAGAAAAAATAAATGGCTTTTTGCTGTTTTAGGTAAAATAAATGCCTAAACTTCCAAGCTCTATTTATAAGAGTGGTGGCCTAAGTCAAGATTATTACTAAATCATATTTTTATGAGTGATATCTAGTTAAAATCCTTGATTTGACACCAACAACTACAGAAATTGGACTTTTGAAGGCCAAAAGACGGAGCGTAATTATCACAGGAGAACCCTCTCTGTATTACCACTGGCTGCTAGCAAAATTCCTTGTTGGAATCCAGTGCTCTGTTAAGCTTCCCCAAATGTATAAATACAGAACGTGAACTGATACTGATATCTCTTTCCCTCTCCAGAAAATGATCAACTATTACGAGACATCATATGTTTTTTCGGACAGAGCATGCTTTATTAAAATGAACACATTTAAAAGCTTTTAATAAATGTGCATGGATGATGAATAAGCATTTTGAAGTAGTTTTACCTTGCCTATTTTGATGTACTAAATGTCTTTTCAGGCATATTAACAATTTTTTAAATGCTTTTTTAATAATTATCAATATCACCTCTTGGTTAAAAATAAATATTTAAAACATTTTAAATGTATTTCCAATGGTTTATAACAGTAAGTAGTTAGTAACAAACCTACATTTTCTTGTGTAGACTAAATTTGTATTTCCCCAAATACGAGGCCAATAAAAAACTTGGATGACTTCCAACCTTTTTGAGAGGCAAATGTATGCTCTTGATGCGAAGATGGGAGCACAGAACAGAACATTTTTTTCTTTGCTGATCAGTGCTCTGCACATTCAAAGAAAATGAACTTAAGAAATACAGTAAAACCTGTGTAATCTGGAGCTTGTACAAGCTGAAAACCTGTCTCAATCGTAAACTTTTTTCAGCCTGTGAAGTTAAGTGGCAGTTTACACAGCATAAAACGGATCCCCTCCAACATGGAAACGGAACGTTTTTTTATGTTCCATAATGTTTTGAAATATTGTTTCTACAAAATAAACACTTGCTTTTGAATTTGTAAAATATAATTAGCTATACCAATACTAGTACCAATAGCTAGTAACTTTTTTCCCCAACTTTAGCCACCTCAATTTTCTATTTACTTATTTCTTACAAATAGCAGAAATTGCTTTGAACTTTTTCGAGAATGAATTTTTTGAATCAAATTTGGAATCAACCTTTTCCAAAAATTGATATTATGGAGAAAATATTTTTAAGAAGCAAATAATGCTTATTTTAAAATGTAGCAAGCATAAGAGCACTGAAAAGTTATACTGTAAACTCTCATGAAATGATAATTTAACGGATAGGGTCAGGGAGTTAAAATTCATTGAAACAAATTTTATTTTATGTCAAAACCATTGGTCAAAATGTAATACTTTCCTTTCTTGGGGCACTTTTATAGTTTTACTTGGCGAAATCTTTCTTACATTTTAACAGTTTAAGGTACTTGAATAAGGCTTGAGAACATTCATCACCATAATGACTTAAAATTAAAAGTATACACTAATAGTTTCATCCCTGTACAATAGGCAACAAATCATCATGGGCAATCCATAATAGTTTGCACCACATTGTGTATATTGCACAGATAATTTGAAAAGTATTGTTAGGATTAGAATATGAATGTACATACGAAAGATGTCTTTACCAAATATTTTGTTACAGACATTTGTGAAGACGTCTTTCATTACTTTTAATCATAAGGACTATTCCACTAATAAGATTTCAGCCAATAGAGTGCAAAAATTTGAACCCTACAGATGAAAGAAGAATTGTGTAAAATAATATTTTTTTCATTACACATGGAACTTTAAATAACTGTCACTTCATATTCTCTGCATCACATCAAAACATCATTCTTTCTTCTGCCAGTGTTGCAGATTGCATAGAATATAATTTTTTATGTGTTTAGCTGTTTCCCTACATTTTTCCTATTTATTTTCTGCATTTTAATTTCCGTTTTTCAGGTTTTCTCAATTTTTTCCAAGAATCATTTACTCTGTAGTCACTTAAATTATGATAGCTCATTTAATGATAATTTTCTTTAGCGATGTTTTAAGCAGATGTGCTTCTATCAAGAAAATTTTATTTCTGAAAGAAAAAACAAAATCATGCAGCAAGACACCACTTTAGGCAGAATACATCGAACATGAGTGAAGTTAAGTACTACTTTATATTACAGTAAATGAAATTCAGTCAAGACACAATTTACTCTGAGAATCTTATTATGCTTTCAAGAAACTTGTAGCAACAACATTTTCTTGTTTAAAGACTTTAGTGATGAAAGCAGACATGATAATACACCATTTTTTGTTTATTTAAAGAAATTGTGAATATACAGAATGTCTCAGAATAAATACTACAAACTTTTTGGACATATAGAGGGGCTGAAAATGATAACCCTTTGCCAATGAATATATAGAGGGAAAGTTCATATAACTGAAATATACTCTGACATTTGCCCCTGAATATCATGTAAAATAATACACATAGATGATGGTTGGTGAATGAAATAGTCTTGACTGCATCAGAACATGACTGACAAAACAAGAAAAGAAGTTACCTAAAATTAAGGGGCAATGTCACTTGGGTAATTCTGTCACATGAAATTTCCCACAATGCAATTTAACTCCTCCAAACCCTGAAAGTTTGAAACATTTATTCTGAAGTGTTTTGTACAATGCAATTTACTAGAATGTCGTGAATTAATTCTTTCAAATGAGATAGCCTTCCTGATAATGATTAAAAACAGGGTTTCTTGTGAAAACTGATTTCCCTCTCAAGAGATCGACACACTAGAGAGAGTTAAGAATTTCTGTTCTTGTGCCTTTCATTATTTAATACAATTCTTTACTTCAGGACTAATCAATGTTATTCTTACTTCAAGACTAACCAAAACATCACAGCTCTTTTCCCTTAAAGATGACTTGTCATTAATATAATTTCCTAAATTCCAAAGAATAAATGAAGACTGAAAATGGAAAACTTAAAAAGCACAAAAATTGGGTATTATCTTAACTTTCATAACCATTACTTAGCTGTTCAAAACCATCTTTTTTTTTTATTGTAATTGGTTGCAAGTGGTGGCAAATTTTGTTTTACGCTGTGTGCCATTTTTTGCATTCGTAGACATTTATTCTTTTCTAAATTACTCAGCTTTGGATTGTTCTAGAATTAATATGTTTCATTAACTGCTTGCTTGCAGAATTATCTGACAAGAAACCAATATGTTGGAACAAATTATCAGGATTTTAGTAACAAGGCTTGCAAACTTCTTGAAACTTTCTCATCAATGTGCCAAAATGAGAAAAAAAATCACGATTAACCGTAGATAATTCTCTAGGCAAAAAGACAAATAAGAGTAAAGCCCAGGATCTGGTGTAAGTATAAGATGTCTGGTTTGGAAGAGGAGGTTTAGTCTATAGAGATTTCCAAAAGGCTCACTTCTGACTTACACAAACTGAGGGAATATTATGAAGAACAAGTGGTACAAACAAGTTGTATGTAGTGTAGTCTCTACTTTGAAGAAGTTTATTCAACTGAACCTATGGAACAACTACCATCAGCTAAAAGAAGATACACAGTAACTCTCAAAGATATTTCCTTCAAGAACTTCGAAACTGCTCAGATTTTATGTAGTCTAAAAGCTGATTCCGCTTTGGGTCCGGATGGAATCCCAGCAATTTTTCTAAAAAATTGTGCTACATCGTTAGCCCTTTTACTGAACTTTATCTTTAAACATTCTCTAGATATGCAAACACTACCTAATATCCGGAAAAAGGCAAATGTCACTCTGATTTGCAAGAAGGGAGACAAACAAAATCCAAGGAACTACAGGCTAAGTCTCACCAGTGTGGTAATGGAAACCATAATTGTTGCGAGGATTCGAGACCATGCCAAACAGAACAACATAATTCCAAAGGAACAGCATAGCTTTGTACCAGGATGGTTCACTGTTACCAACTTTCATGATTGGATGTGTGGACGAAAGCCTTGGCTGAAAGTCTGGGCCAGCCCGTGGACATAGTATAGTTGGATTTCGCAAAGGTCTTCAATAAGGTGCCACATAGGCAGTTGTTACTGAAGTTGTATTCCTTGGGTATACAAGGGAAAATCCTCCAGTAGATAAGAGAACTTCTGTCAAATAGAACTTTCTAAGTCAGGATTGGACAACACAAAAGAATCCGCCTAAGAATGAGCAAAGTGACAGTTTGCTACACAAGTGAACATCACATGTAGTTTAGAGAAGTATGCTGTGACAGCTGTTCAGCCATGCCTCTTTGTAAAGTGTGTGTTTGTGTTTGTTTATGGCTTCCGTTATGCCATCATGGCTTTTCATGGTTCACAACTGTGTAATTATATAAAAAATTAATATACAATGCAAAGAACAGAACTACGAAAACATGTGCACCAGTATGCATCTTACATTCAAGACTGCTTTAAAATAAACATAATATTTATAACACAAAATGTAATATTTATAAAAAATAATTTTTACAGAGGAGCACACAGCACTGCACTTCCTAATTTCAATTATTTCTCGTGGCACACTATTTTCATCGGTCAAGGAGACACAAATTTTCATCAGAAGGATGCATCAAAGCCATTTACAAGTTAGCCAATTGCAAACGAATGAACGGAGGGACGAGTGCCTTAGGCTCAAGGACACAATGACCACAGAACCTTCAGTTATGCTGCCAGCACTAGCTAGTCCTTTCTTATAAAAATCCCTCTATATGAACACCCTGAGTAGTTTCTAGTGGAGAACCTCAAGGTTCTGTCCTACAACCACTGCTGTTCATATTATACACCAGTGACCTTGGAAACGAGTTGTCATCGACTTCGAACTGTTATGCAGACTTTGCCAAACTCTTTTGCCAATCCCTTGACATTGCACAGTGAGTTGCAAAAAGATCTTCAAACTGTAGTAAACTGGTCTGAAACTTGGATGATCCTTCTCAATCAAGATGAATGTATAACACTATATATCAGAAAAAATAATCCAAAAATTTCATGTTTCATGAATAGGACACCTTCGGCAGAGACCCGCCAACAAAATGAATTGGGTGTGATTATAACACAAAATCTTAAATAGGAAAATCAAAATAACTGTATTTCAAAGCAAGCCAATACTAATCTGTATCTGGTGAGAAAGGCCTTCTCAAACTTGATCTCATCAGTAGTTAAAAAGATTTTCTGCACATTTATAAGAGCGATAACAGAATATGCCAGTGTAGTATGGTCACCATATCTCGAGAAAGAGAAGAAGAACTTAAAAAAAGTGATTTAATTGTAACTTATAAAATATTAAATAGGATGCTCCCTGCTTCGACACAATATTTAATCACGCTATGGATCTCAGACTACGAGGATATTCAGCTAAGCTGAGAAAGGAAAGAACAAGAAGTGGACCAACAACGCATTTCATCACAAATCGGATTATGAACAAATGGAATGCTCTCCCAGTCGACTTTGTTGTGAAAAATAACGTGCCTTTCACATGCTCTCTACACAATTATTACCTCACAAATTAAGTTATTAAATGCAATATATATTATTAAGTGTCAACTAATTTATCATTTTTTTTTATTTCTTTGCATTTAAAATTGCCATTCTGCTTATTATATCTGAAGGTTTTTGCGGAGATACAGTCGCACAGTACTCCTTAGATGCAATGATCGCGACTGAATTATTCAATAACATGTTGAGCCCAATGACTTTCCAGATAAATTTTTATTCTTGTAATAATGAGCCAAAGTTATTTCTCTCAATCCTTTTGATATAAGCTTTTTATGATCTTCGAAGGATCTGAAAAAGACTGGGCAAAGACATGAAATGTTTGTAAGTATTTTATCTCATGGCACTTACAGAGAGATGGTCGGAGATATTAGAGTTATTCCTGAGTAAAAACAACACTTTTTCCTCAGTACCAGTCTTCACTTGATTTAATGACCTTAGGAAAAAATCCATAAACAGTTTTACGGCAAATTTCTCTTGTAAAATCATCTATACAACACTCCCACTCCATTTTATAAACGGTCACACAACTGTGCACATAGGCAGAGAAAGGCATTTTGACGGAGAAGGAAGACAACAATGAAGCCACAAACTCAAACCTTCAATATTTCCACTCAAATTAACACACAACATAAATAAAAAAGCTATAAAAAATATAAACTGAACCAATCACTAAATCCATTTAAAAAAGAAAGAGGAATCATAAATATAATAATAAATTTTAACATCGCACCACCATAAATGATTGAAAATAATCATTCCCATGAGAACATACCATAGAAATTAGAATTCCCAATCCCAAAGAACCTACACAAACCAGATGATTCAGAAGTCTCTGTGATCTCAAAAGGGTGTTATATCCTCATCCCACCGCTTTGGTTCTGTGATACATGAACTTCAGGTTGTTGATATTCAAAGAAATGATTAAAGAGGTGCGAGGTCAAGTTTGGCAGTAGCTTCAACTCTTCCTTTTTAAACTGCACTGACCCAATATCTGCTGATTCTCTTTCATTGTTTGTTAACTCAGCCATGTTATTTGCATCTAAGGAGTACTGTAAGACTGTCCATATACCTAGAGAAACATTCTGAAATAATATACAGAACGGCAAATTTAAACGTGAAAAATTAAACAAAACTAAATGCTGAATTTACTTATTTGTTATAAATTATAAACTATTTTTATATTAACAAGTTCAGCTTTTAACATCAAGATGACCATATTTTCAATTGCAAACGTAGATGTCCTGTTGTACATTTGTTTTAAAGTAAGGTATATGTAATATTCAAAAGTATATATTAGGCAATTTTTGTTTATAATTAATGAAGTATAATTAATTATTTTAAATCAATATACATTTTGGTTTAAAATAGCTTCAAAATAATATGACTACTACTTGGCAAATCATAGTCTCTAAGTGGAGCTGAAGCCTTTTCTTGTGGAAGTTCACACCCATACACACACACACGCTCCTCTACTTGCATACACATCCATACAAAAACAAACACACACCACACCTTTCGAGTTAAATCTTAAAGTTGAAATTTTTGGTGAAATTTGGTATCACAGCGATCAAGCATGTGTGCAGATTTTTATCTCATCCCCCAAAAGAGATATTACAGTTGAAAATTTGCAAAAAATCCCAAATTCCAATTTTTAAAAGGATGTAATTCTCAAGCAATAGATTATTTACCAATGATATTTAACAAAAAAGGAACTATACTGTCATGTGTAAAAGCACAGACAAAATTATGGCTGTGATTGTATTCTTCTTGAAAAATTACTCTCTGAAAATCGAATTTGATTCATTTGCGTTCTGTAGGTTTTGGTTGCAAACATTTCCAAAATAAAAACATAGAAGGTCAATAAATAATATTTTGATTTGTATGCCAGAGTATACTGAATCCAATGCCTTTTAGTATAGAATGCTAGAACAATTCAAAGCTGAGTAATTTACACTACAAACACGAAAAATGGCGCATGGTGAAAAACAAAAATAGTCGCCATTTGTAAATCATGTATAATAAAAAAATTACAGATATTTTCGAACAGCCAAAACATAAGGAAAATTATGCACAAATTATGAATTTTTTTTTCGAGATGGTCGAGCGACCACTGCTGGACCACTTGCTTGACTCCACAGCTTCATTGAATATAGAAGTATGTTTCGGCGAATGCTGAATGCACTAGTGAGTTTGGCACTTTCATTGTGTCCAGTTTCCAGTCTAATTGTTTGTACAATGTCATAATTAATATTTTAATATATTTTTTATATTAATAATTTTAATAAAGTTCAAGTCAACTGATATATTAGAACAAGATTTTGATGAAAAAGGCACATTAAGCTCAGAGCAATAATATGAATATTTTAAAGCCTACTTTGACATGCAAATACTAGCATCTCGATACTCGAAAAGTGAGACACACATGTAAATTAAATTATAGTACATAGAGTATAATTTTTAAAAGAAAACAAGAGTACACAAATGCTAATTGAAAATTTAGACTTCAAAAAATAAGCATGAACAGTAATATTAGGGTTTTCTGGAAACTTTATAGAAGAGTGGAAAAGAATTTTGAAGGTTATCAAAGAGGAAATATTCTTTCTCAATTTTAACTTCTGTTATTAGTTAGTTTCAACTTTAGTGTCAAGGGAACACATCAACCATTAACCCCATGCAACTGCACAACGTGAATACTCACAGGGTGGGCGGCTTCTGCATGCTGCTGTGGATGATAGTGACGTGGCATGTGATACTGATAAGGCTGATAATATGGATGTGGATGGGGAGGGTATTGTGAGTAAGGTTGGTGATAAGCTTGCTGCTGAGGAAATGGATACTGAGGGTGTGGTGGCCTAGGAGGCAGGGGTACTGTCTGCGGGGGTGGATTTGCACCCCCTGGGTACTGCTGATAGGGTGAAGGGCCAGGGCCAGCTGGGGATTGCTGAGACAAAGGGCCTCCTGGATGTGATTGTGGGGGCAGGTGAGGGGACTGTGAGGGGAGGCCCCCTGGAGGTGGCTGGCTAGGGTGTGTTGGTATCTGGGGCTGTGGTGGACCCTGAGGAGGAGTCACTGGAGGACCTACCGGAGAAGCTGATGACGGCATTGGTTTAGGGAGAGACGGAGGCTCGCTCGCCTTTCCAGGAGGTCCAGGTGGCCCAGCAGAACTCGTGTCCATGGCCTGGGAGGGTGGGGGAGGCTGCTGGGGCGGCTGGCCCTGTGGGGGCTGCTGGGGCTGCTGCACCTGAGAGCCCTGCTGTGGGCCCTGCAACCCTTGCTGTGGCGGCTGCGGCTGAGCCTGTTGCTGCTGTGGGTGAGGCAGTGGGTGCTGCATGTGATGTGGAGGTACAGGAGGATGCTGTGGGCTTTGCTGCAGATGAGACATATGGCCACCTTGCTGTGGATGTCCCATATGCTGAGATGGATGTTGGAGAGGATGTTGTCCCATGTGGTGTTGAGCTGAAGGCATTTGGCTTGATGGATGTCCAGGAGGGTGCTGAGATGATGGATGTTGTGCAGGGGGATGTTGACCAGGGTGATGCCCTGGATGATGTTGCCCAGGTGGAATTTGACCAGGAGAATGACCTGGGTGCCCTGAAGGATGTTGACCAGTGGGGTGACCTGATGGGTGCTGACCAGCCGGATGACCTGGAGGATGTTGGCTGGCAGGGTGTCCTGAAGGATGTTGACCTGGGTGCCCTGCAGGGTGTTGTCCTGGGTGCCCAGGAGGATGACCAGGTGGGTGAGCAGATGGATGTTGACTGGAGGGATGACCAGGTGGGTGTTGAGGGGCAGAGTGACCTGGACCACTTGGATGCTGACTAGCAGGATGGGGTCCAGAATGAGGACCTGGTGGATGTTGTTGGCCAGGAGGATGAGATCCTGGAGGGTGTTGTCCAGGATGCTGCTGAGCAGGTGGAAGCTGGGCCGATGGATGCTGCTGCCCTGAATGCTGTTGCCCAGGAGGATGTTGACCAGACGGATGCGGTGCAGCAGGATGACCTGGAGGATGTTGGCCAGAAGGATGCTGACCTGGATGCTGGGCTGAAGGATGTGAACCAGGGGGATGTTGCCCAGCTGAATGCTGTCCAGAAGGATGTTGCCCGGAAAGATGACCAGGTGAATGAGAACCAGGAAGATGCTGGCCGGGAGGAGCCTGACCAGCCGCATGTTGACTGGAAGGATGTGGAGAAGGAGCTTGTGAGGAAAGTGTTTGAGACAAACCAGGTGAAGGTGCAGGAGATGATGAAGGCTGGGAAGAGGGTGCAAGAGTAGGGGGTGTAGGGGTTTGTTGTGATGATGGAGTCTGAATACTGCTGTGTGAAGGATGTTGAGAAGGTATCTGAGGAGGCCCATGTTGAGAAGGAGGGTGGGGTGAATGCTGAGTGGAAGGATGGGGAGATGATGAATGTGGTGGAGGATGCTGAGAAGGGTGAGACGATGAAGCATGTGGAGATGGTGGATGAGGAGGATGCTGTGGTGGATGTGCTCCTAGATGTTGAGATGGATGTTGGGGTGGAAGATGTTGTGATGGTGCATGAGGAGTTGAAGCATGTTGTGACAAGGGATGCTGTGGAGGAAGGTGCTGAGGTGGCATGTGTTGAGGTGGCATATGCTGTGAAGGGTGCTGCAATGGATGGTGGGGGGGAGGATGGGGAGAAGTCCCATGTGGGGGCACATGTGGAGGAGGCCCATGCTGGGAAGGTATGTGCTGGGGTGGAGGGTGTTGAGTGGTAGGATGCTGCAAGGGGGAGTGCTGAGGAGCAGGGTGAGGGGGAGTGGGATGAGGCACAGATGGGTGCTGGGCTGGCCCATGCTGAGGACTCATGTGCTGTGGAGGGTGAGGTACTGAATGCTGAGGAGATAAGTGTTGTGGAGTTGTCAAGTGAGTTGCAGGCTGAGGTTGAGATTGTGGCTGAGCTTGAGATTGGGGCGATGGCTGAGGCTGAGGCTGAGGTTGAGGCTGTGGCTGTGGCTGTGAGGGAGATTGTTGAGGCGGCAGCTGCTGCTGTTCTGGTTCATTAGTAGCAGGCTGCACCTCCATAGCCTGTTCACAGAGGTTACGGATTTCGATTCGCATTCCGGAATGGCATTCAAAATAGATATGTTAACAAATGTATGTACATTAATAAAACACACAACAAAACAGACCAATAATAAAATAGAAATCACAATACCTTTGCCTGAGTTTGAGTCTCTTCAGCTGATTCAGAACTACTTTGTGATTCTTCTGTTCCTTTGGTGTATTCTTTTCGTAATACATCATATTGCCTCTCTACCATTCTTTGGAATGTCTCTTCATCCACTGCTGGTACACAATGCTGCAATATTAATAGAAAATATTGTTTCTTTCTACGTCAAACAAATAGCAACAGGAAAGATTGAATGAGGTGTTACCTTCTTAAGCTCTTCTTGAAATGCTTCACTACTTTCAATAAACTTCCGTTTCTTTGCTTCAAATTTTTCCTCAATTTGTTGCAGTTCAGCTTCCAACTTTTTCTAAATCACATATAATTGGTTAAGTTTTTCAATGATTTTACAAAACACATTAATAAAGAATTATTTAATGCAACACTTGAATTCTGCCACTAAATAAAAAGTTACATGTGTGAAACAATAACAGAAAAACAATCTTAATTAACCACACAGTTAACAAGTTTCCAAAGAAGAAAATTGGAGATGACAGTTAGGGGCAACTTTATAATTTTGTCACTGATTAATTCACACAAACACATGCAAAATATCAAATACCTGATGCATTGTAAGAGACTGAACTTGGCGTTTCAGAACCTGCATTCTAGCAGTAGTCACTACAGATCTCACATCAGGAACCACAGAATCAGAAAATATCTCATTGATAAGGCGATGGTTTCGCAAGTAACGAGCGTATGCCACATGTTTCACTGAATAACCATCATCCTGATCTAAAACGAAATCATAATAGAAGTATTAGTTATTAAAAGCTAAGGAGTCTTTCGAAACTAAATAATCGCTCAATTGAAAAAACCATGAATGTCAACACCATTCAAAGATTATTTATATGCAATTTCGGTTGGAAAAATTTTTGTCACCTATATTTAATGCTAAAAATTGCCTTTTTGCATTCCAGAGTCTTTAAATTCACCATTTTAGTGCTCTTAGAGGCGAAAAATGAAACAAGAATAACAAAAATAGTTTTTCTGTGCCTAACGTACAGTTTGATTTTTTTTACTAAGTGGTTTTCCCAATAGAACAATGATATTGTTCAAATAAAAAATATTAAAAACTGACCTTCTTCATCTTCAGCTGGTTGAATATCTATTCGCCTGTCAGCAGGCTTTGTCCCACCACTTGAGCGCTCATGAGTTTCTCGTTCTTCTGCAGCCTGTTGAGCTATTAAACCAATTCAATTATAAAATAAGCTTGATCTAAAAGGTGCCACAAGAAGGTATTGACAATTACGTTATAAAATATTGCATTAAATATTTATTCTGCAAATTTTTATTATTACTGATCTATTTGAGGCAGACTGCATATTAAACGTCTCTAATCAATACATTTTATTAAGACTAAAATGGTGAAAAGATAATATTTTTTTTTCATCCTTCTTGCGGCACAATTTTTCTGAATTCACAAAAGAATAAGGGCATACGTGAATTCAGATCCTTTTAACTACAACCATCAAATTAATTAATAAACACCAATATGATTCTCAACATTGAATTAAAATAAACATTTATTACTGACAAAAATAACTTTGTAAGGAATGTGAGATTCATTGCAAGTCATGCAAGGCACTTTCTTTTCGATTTGGAGGCAAATTATATTAAATTTAAAGATAATTTTAAGATTAATAGGAACATGATGATGATGATGATGATGATGAAAATGAGATGATCAAATATAGTGGCATTTTCCCATCAACAACCATTACTTTAAGGTGGTGCAATCCACATAATCACAGAGGAAAATTAAGCCCAAATCATGTTTGCAAATGCAAAGAAGAAACGAGTATACAAACACCACATGCTATCAGTTGCACAATCCAGCAAATAGAAAAGAAAACCTAAATTATTTTGAGATTGTTAAAATACTCTTTAAAAGTTCTTGAATTTGGATTGAATATCACATTAAGATTTGCAAATTACGATTAACATTTGTAACACTACCTAACCTATCTCTTTACAATATTGTGATATTTCAAGCCTTCATGTTACTATAACAATTAAGAAATAAAAGATACGAATAGCTTGCTAATCTCCAATGCCCTCTTACTACTCCAGTTATTGAGTAGGGATTGGGGAAGGGATAATCTGTTATCTCATGTAAGAAACTAACAATGTTGCAAATAAACAAATTATTACTTTACTTGCACAATTTGGGAACAAATTGCTTTGTGGATGCATTTCAACACACAAACTACAAACAAGCACACATGACGAACGACCATCAAGAGTGAGATATGGGGGTGGACCTACCGGACTTACCACGGTTCTTGGCTGCAATATATGCCACATAAGCCGGGGAATTGTGATACACTTTCAAATTTTTCTCATACTCTAACTGAAACACGACAGAAAAGAGGGGAAAAGAAGCAATCAAGTTACATGGTTTGGCAAGAAGTGAGAGAAAAATAAGCAGTGAATCTCTCAGGAACCAAATCCTGTCAAAAAAACAAGCTTACAAGACACTGAAGTAAATGGATGAAATTGCAAACAATTTTCAGTGCATCTCAAGACTATTGCTTTAAACAAAGCATTAAAACATACAACATGCTAAAAATGCATGCACTGAGACCCTCAATGGCTTAAGGATACATTTTAGCTATCAACTCAAAAGCTCGTAGGGGTGGTCCATAAATTATGTAACGTAACGTTTGGAATTTTTTGAATACTCCTGCCCTGTAATGCACCTCTAATGCGTGCTTGAACCTTCTTAATAGTTTTGTAATGCTTGCAATAAGACCCTCCATTTACAAAAGTAAAAATAAATCATAAAGCAGTAACAAGTTGTATTAATTTTATTTTTGTTGTATTAAAATTTATGATAATTAAAGTCAGCATCAGTTGGCAATGCGGACTGCACCTAACAATATGATTGGGAAAAATTTTTGAAAGGTCACTTAAGTGAGAAAATTTCAGACTACAAACCACACACACACTGTCTTGGACAACACATTGGTCAGACTAAAGTGCCAATTTAATTGGATTCTTGAATGAACATAGATCATTATCATAATAATAATATTATTATTAATTTTTCAATGTTTTCTTCATAAAAAAAGATTTAATCAATAAACCACTGATATTTAATTATAGAAGAAACATTTCCATTTATTGTAACAATTTTTACGTCATAACTTTTTAATTTATTGACATTTTGTAATTAAATTTGTTCATATTGTTATAGTGTAAGATGGAATAAAAGAAATTATTTCACCAAATGAAACATTTAAAAAAATAAATTTCAGTATTATGTCACATCAAACCATGAACCCCCTTACCCTGTGTAATGCAGCATAACACTGCTTCAAACCTCCTTCCCCCTCTTTAGTGTTACAAAATATATGAACGGCCCGATAAAATGCTTCAGCATCTGTTTTACATTCTAATATAAGTTTTCAAATATTATTTCATGCCCCCTTAACATTATTACATTATTCTCCCAAAAGTCAATTGAATTTTTGTGACAAAAATGAATGTACTAATTTACCCTTTAGTTATTTTTTATATCAATGGAATATATTTTTACATACTTTTCATACATTCATTTTAATATACAGCAGTCAAGCATACAACTTTGCTTTTTCCCTTCCAAATTAAGCAATTAAAAGCATTGGATTGAATTATTTCAAACAAAGCTAAGGATGTATGAAAGTAAAATTAACAGTCAGGACAGGACATTTCTAGAAAGGTAACACTAACTTAACAGGGCTAATCAACATTACATAAGCTACTGAATTAATATCAATGGTTCCATGAACCAAACATAAGCACAGCACAAAATTTGAAGCATAATCAGATAGTATGAAAGAGGCACACACTTCTACTTTGTGATTAAAAGTTTTTTAAAAAACGTATTAAAAAACACATAACATTTAAGTAAACAAAAACAATGACATGTGTGTATGCCTATTTCTTACTCTTCATGTAATTCTAGGACAAATGCACAAGAGTCCATCTTCTGGGATGCCAAATCAGTTTCACACAAAAAAGCTGGAAAAAGGCAGAAGAGAGACAAAGGTATATGATGAAGGCAAGGCTTCTAACTGACACCTCCAATGAAAGACAGGCTGGAACTAGACAGTGTCATCCACTGTGTTACCGCCTGCCTACCTTTTGATTTGGCCGCCATCCAGGCCACATAGGCCGGAGAGCAATGATAGGTTTTCAGAGCTTCATTGTATAACACCTGAAATGTCATAAAACTGTGAAAACAATACACTTTTTTTTTCATATTGTATCTCCTTAACTCAATGGAGGGAGAAACCTTTATCAGCAACAGTAATTTTAAGTACTGGAAAGCCAATTAGATTCTATTGCTGCAAAGAAAAGAAGATTATACAAGACATTTCTCATTCTATCACCTGAATATAGTACTCCACTACTATACTGGGTACATGCATATTTAAAATTCTAATTTTTTTATTTGAATGAGGCACTGCATTTAATTACCTTCTCAGCTTCATATTCTTCAACATACTCTGTCTTATCTTCTTCAGGAAGATCTCGCCACATTTGACCAATAATTTTTCCAATTTCCCATAATTTCAATTCTGGGTTTTGAGCTTTCACTTGATCCCAGACTTTCCGACTATATCTCATGTAAGGCATAAGGGGTTTTTCAGGTGGTTTAGGTGGTTTTGGAACTCTTGTGTCACCCTGAAATGCAAATGCTTTTAACATATGAGCTACATTTTAAGTTTCAACAGCTACAAATACTATAAGACTTACACCAGTCCCTTTCCCGACTTTCTGTGGAGTGAAACCAGGATGCCCATGGGAAGTAGTAATAAATGGATTCTGGTTGGCAGTTGTATCCTTCTGAAATATTTCCAAGGGAAAAATACATGAAAACCATATGCCACGAAGACTAATATTTCATTTCTAAACTTCAAAAGTACATCTTACCGCTGATCCAGATGAAGAACTAGAAGCACTTGATGCTCTAAGTCGTTCTGTAAAAATAAAATGTACATAAACATGATTATCCAGTTACAACTAATATCATAAAATACTGTTTTACATTTACTCGAAAATCTGGAAAATTATAACACTTTACATTATATGATGTTGAGTGTTGTGTTTTTGTTGGGCAAATTCTTTGCATTAAAATATAAACAAAAATATTCTTGTAATAGCAGACATCAAGCTCATGCAAGCAGACAAGCAAACAAATAGGCAAAGGCAACCTACCTATGAAGGAAAGGGTAAAATAAATATCTTAATGCGAAAGGCACAGAAGAGAAGAATGTACAACTGGTGCCATACATTCAATAGTTCACAGCCAACTATATACGTATGAACATTGCAGAAATAACAGTGGTCTTACAAACCTGAACATGAAACTGGGAAAAGCAGAAGAGACATAATATTCTTTTAACCATTACTTGTAATTGAAATTTCTATAATCAACACTGACAATTACGACTTATTAAGGATTGAAATTTTAAGGCTATTTAGTTGCTTAGGAAATTTCATATTGAAAGTAGATCTGTATGCTTTGAATTTAACGATCTGATAATCTGTTTACAAAAAAAAAAAAAACAACTCTTTTCGTCATGATTATCATGCTACAAATGTGCTGTGCTGCCGCTTGGATCCTTAGCACTTACACAATACAGATGCTCACCTTTCAAAATGTTGAATGTCATAGGAGCACCAGCTGACAGCAAATCTAAGGAATACAAAAAAGCATTTCATGACAAAACTGTTCTACTGGGTAGGAAATTGTTATCTAAATTATAATTGGTAGTTATGGGGATATACATTCAACCAGGAAAACAAGGGATAAATTCAAATTAAAATGGTAACAGAAGGAAATAATACCAACATTAGGTATTCAAACCATACCGCATCAATATAATATGGCAATTCTAAATGCTCTTGGTAGCATTTCCCTCAATTACCATTATATTTTGGAAACTCAGGATTGCAAGTGTTCACATCATTAGTTCATAAGAAAGAGGAAAAAAAACAAACAAACAACAACAACTAACTCTTCAAGTGAAAATTTAAATAAAAACGGAACAAAATGAGAAAGTGATAATTACAAAAGCACAGAAAACAACAAAAATTGAAAAAGTAATTTAAAAGATTTTTGTATGGTTTTACACACAGTAAAAATTTTGAATTCGTTTGTTGCACCAACAGATAGTGCTAAGAAAAAAAAAAAAAAAAAAAAAAAAAAAAAAAAAAAAAAAAATCAAGAGTAGATGAAAACAAAATGAAAATTTGGAAGCAAGTAAGAGAAGTACATCAGAAGACCATCTTTTTGTCATATCCTTTGTTTCTTTTCTCTGTAAAATTGAAATGATGTGAATACTTCTTGGAATCACATTCCACTGGAGGATAGGGACTTCATACACATGCTATTTATCAAAACTACAAAAGCTCTAAGCTGTTAATAGAAGGCTCCAAATTAACCTTAGCTTCATGCAGAAAGCTGCAATGAATGCCAATAAATTATTCAAAACCAAAATTCTTGCAAACCAGAACTAAAATGCTGTTACAAAATATAATAAGCATCTAGTTCTCATTACTCACAAAATTTCGTATTATATGTGAATAGATGATACTTATAATAATTTTCAAACCATTTTGGATGATGTCTAAAACAATTAGAATTATGTCAAAAGCAAAAATTACTTATTTTTGCCCTACATTCCTGTGTAAACTGTGAGAGTAAGTGGTCAGCCAGCAATTATAGAAGTGAGGTGGAGAACCTGTCAGTACACTAAAAATTGTTTAATTAAATTCTTAAAACAACAAATTAATACTTAATCTACAAATTTAAAGACATCAAGCACAAAACTAAATATAATAAAAGGCAAACAATATTCATATGTGAACCAGAATCTCCTTTCAGTTGGTCATATAAAGGCCATCTACAAGCCTGACTAGATGAATTGAAAGTGTAAACTGAAATATGGGGCAGAAGCCAGTGACATGTTTAAGATGAGGTCACGGGTGCTACTGATTAGGGGGCATGAATTCATTTTCTCCCAGTACAATTCAGTTTTATAATAAAATGGACTAAAAGGGCCTCACTATTACTATAGTGTGAAGTGTGCTATTAATGGATATCAAATGAGGAAAATTTTATTTCTTTGTTCATTTTCTCTTTGTGGTCATTGTTTTCATAGAATAGAGTGCATGTACATTAAACCAAGAAATAACATAATGAAGATTGGGATGTAAATTCAATACCTGGCACTTTACTAGATTAACCTCAATTAGAAGCACTACAAAGATTAAGTAGATTTAAATGAAATTCTGGATCAAATCAAATAATAAAAGTTGCTGACTTTTTTGTTTAATTTTATCAACAATTGGTTTATTTCCAAAATTATTTTAGTTATTCCTCCGTTCTTTAGACCTCTAGTGTTCTAAACAACATGAGTATAAAGAATCCCATTATGAACTACGAAACTGGCTACAGATGTAAATACAAATAAATTGCACTCATATAGAGACTCTATTTGAACTTCCAATTTAATTTTCACATTCTAACAGATATGCTGTGCCTTTTATTTAACTAGTTCACAGAAACTCATGCAAATTTACAAATATCAAGAGAAATATACACTACAATTAGAGAATAATTTTTTAAAACCCAGAAATACAATAATTAAGTATACTTTGAAGTGGTAATTTATTTTATTTCATAAGGATGATGAGACTTCTGATACAATTGCAACATATTTTTTTCTACTGAAGTAGGTTTAGATATGCAAGTTGCTCACCACACTCTACAAAACAATATATTTGGAATTCTATAGTAAAATTTGTAATGAATGATCTATATTTTATTAAAGATAAAAGCATATTTTCCTGTCAATCTTTTGTACTTTGATTTAATCACTGTGTCCTTTGACAGGTCATCAGCTGTTACGGTGTCATCTAATCGGGAGCTTCAATGTCACTAAGCTGACGTTCAAGCTCCTGATTAGATGACAGTTACAGCTGATTTACACCAAAGGACTCTTGTGTTTAAATGAAAATAGTGTGCTGTCAATTTTATTCAGCTGACACAGAGTTATGTTTTACATGAATTTATCACAAATTCAAGAGAAATGAAAATATATTCCAAATGATTCCATTCTGGCTTGACATTTAAGACAAGATATTATGCTTAATTTTTTATTTTCCTTGTCCATTAAGTGATAATTTTCTAAACATGTTCTGGTGATTCTGTCACATTGGGCAGAAGTGAATGAAAGGATTGATTCATTGGAAATGAAATTCAAATGTTAACATGTTAAGAAGCAAGATCAAAATCTTCAAAACAATATATTTTGTTCTTAAAATACTTTTTGCAAACACTACAAGATGCCACAAAGGGTTTTTTTAATTCATATTCCACTTTTCTTAATGAATTCTTGAAAGAGGGACAAAAGGCTAACAGGTAGAATTCATATTCATTCACATACAAATATAAATAAAATTAACCCATATCGATCCTTTATGTCACCCAATGGAAAAAAGTAGGCTATTAACACTTGTGAGATGCTGATATTTTGGTAGAAATCACCAAACACTGAAATCATTTCACAATTAGGACATCATCAATATTACACCATTAACACCACTACTGATGGTTTGCCAGGGTGAATAACATACTTAGCTTGACAATAATATCTAAGGACCTTAAAACTAGTAACAGCTTATTAACTTAAAATTATTTCACATTTCTCAGCAAGGTTCTTTCCAAGGCAAGATTCTTCTTTCAATTCCATTAACAGGTAATGAAAATCAATATATTAACATAATTATAATTTCAAAAGTGCAATGAACGCATGTTAAAATACATTAACACTTTCCAACTTGTTTTGAACTTCAGGGTACTGACACACGCATACATACAATATTAATTCCAGTTAAAACAATTCTTGTATTGATAATACCAAACTACCAAATATGGGATTGTTTTAGGAACAATGGATGGTTGGTTTATCTCGCATGAGTACTCACGGTTGCTGGTCATTGGTGTCGGAGACGACACAGCAATCTGTTTATAATTCACCGGGAGAGCCATCGCTGCGTCACTAGTTTCCTATTTCAGAGATTCTTTAATGAACGACTTATATTCTGTGCAATCTGCAAATATGAACATTTTATACATGTTTTATTTGGTATGGAAATACTTTTTCCTTCATAAGTAGAAGAGAAATAAATTTAAAAACACTCCTCCCAAAATCTAGTATTTTGTTAATACACGACACTTGACATTGACACGATAAAAAAAATGTGGAAATAATAAACAATAAATTGTGGGAAAAAATGTATGGAATCACATTAAAAAAGGTATTAAAAAATGCGTAACCATCATTCAAATTATCGTCTAAATATATAAATGTAAGTCCTTACAGGCAAGAATAGCAATAACACAAGTAAAGCAGGACGCTCCAAAAACGGAACAGGAAGTTATTGTACAGCAACTCCACTACAAACCAGAGAGTATATAACCTAATGATACAAACCGACTACAAATTTCAGGAGTCTGAGGCAAGGAGCTTAGAAGAAACGATTGTATAGTTCTATTTAAAAGTATAAAGGCACTTTAAGATCACAGGCTGGACGGAGACCCTATCATCCAATCGAAAAGTATTTTACAATTTAACGTTTTAATATTGAAGCTACAATTGGATGATAATGTCTCTCTCTTCCCTTCTTGTGACCTTGCAGAACCATCATATTTAAATAGGTCTATAACCTCAAGGAGGTTACAAAATATATAAAACCACCTTGCCGGAGATGAAATCGACATGCAACTGGACTCAACCAAGGAGGTTAGAACATAGATGAACTATGGTTAGAAGATATTCTCTTTGGATCAGTCAAATGCACTGTCAAAATTGCAGTTGGTACGTCGTTGTGGCCAGTTGTGGCATGAACTGCATTGCGAACGTAGCCAATATAAGAATGGCAAAATAACTACTGTGTTAAGATGTGTTAGTTATCGAGTTGTTACGTTCATAAAAGGGAATTTATGAAACAAATGCATTTCATTTGTGCTTTTTAACATGAAACTTTTTCGCGATGCTCTATGTTTGGTAATTATAAGGAATATTGTTAATCTGCAGAAGCTTTAAATGTTTTAGCATTCTGTGAAAAAATTTCTGCATTCTTCCAATCTTGAACTTGTAAGTTATTTTCATAAAATTTTTGTTATTTGTGTTATTTTTAAATTGAAATACATTTACTTCCATTAATCTTCCAGGCAAACCGTTTAATACAATGGATGATCAAATCTGCCCAAGGTGCAAGACCTCAAAATACAGGAAACCATCAATGAAGTTGATGGTAAATGTTTGTGGACATGCTCTTTGTGAGGCGTGTGTAGATTTACTTTTTTTAAAAGGAGCTGGTTCATGTCTTGAATGCAATGTGCCACTTCGAAGATGTAATTTTCGGGTTCAGCTCTTTGAAGATCCTATGGTTGAAAAGGAAGTGGATATAAGACGACGTGTTCTCAGAGATTTCAATAAAAGAGAAGAAGATTTCAATACACTCCGTGAATATAATGATTACCTTGAAGAAGTAGAGTCTATAGTGTATAATTTAACAAATAATATTGACATTATAGCCACAAATAAAAAAATTGAGCAATATAAAAAAGATAATAGGGATACTATTATGAGAAATAAAAGCAAGGTGAGTCGGGATGAGCTTGAAATAGAAAGACTTATTGAAATGGAAAAAGCTCATGAAGAAATACGGAGGAAAGAATGTTTGAAACTTGAGGAAGAGGAAAAGAAAAAGAAAATACGAGCCAAAGAAGCTCTGATTGATGAGTTAATGTTTTCTAGTGCTGATGCTAGAAACATTTTAGAAACGTTTGCTCAAAATGCAAAAGAGGAAGTGAAAGCCCAGGCTCCAGTTCCAAAAGCTACACAATTTTCCACTGGCATTGGATTTGGAATGCAGCAACAGTCTGGATTTTTACCTCTTCCTAAAGTGGATGAAGGTGTGCCATTCATTTATAGCGCAATGGAAATAGAAACAGATGGTCCTGAACCTCCACACTGGCATGATATAGAGAAAACAGGTTATGTGAAAAATGTGCGGTCTGAAACTGACCAAGAAAGAGCTGGAGGATATCAGGCAAATATAGCCTGCTTGAGAGCATTGCAAGAAGCTTTGCTTGGACTGTATCATGTGGCGGAACGGACAGAACTTGGATTGTAGGCTTGTGTGAACATTTTTTGTTAATACAATTAATTTCAGAATTCACTCTCCTTGATATCTCATGTGATCAGTGTGAAAACGGGTGATGTGATCTTTCTTCCTAACTTCTACAGGAATGGAGGTGTGTAATTTTTGAGGTTGGAAAGTCATTGGTGGTCTTCCTAAACATTTATGTCATTTCAAGAAGACTGAAAAATGTAACTGGATAAATCTATTATTTAAATAATGATTTAACTTTTATAAGTGTAATCTTTTTTGTCATACCAAATATGATTTCTGTATCTGTTGTGTATAAGATTGAAACAAATTGTGTAATGTAAAATGTGTATTAAACATATTCAATTTGTGATTTTGTTATTACTGGTGTATTGTTTAAATTTTTGATTTGTAATATTTGATACAAGGATACAAATGATTCAAAGAAAACGTTAAACTTCAAAGCAGATTGAGATTATAAAGTTTGATTTCCGTATTAGGAGCGTATTGCAAGAACGCTTTGTGACAAGGAACATTAAATTGTAATTCACATCTGATATAGTTTTTATTGATTTGTTGTAGTTTATAGTAATGGTTTTTTGTAATTGTAATTAATTTTTTGATTGTTTCTCCTTGTTTTTGTTTCTTTTTCCCATACATACAGAGGTATACATTAATAGATTTGAATGGTGACATAAATATCAAATATAAAGCCTAAAATTATCTATCCATTAGTCTAAAAGAAAGAAAGAAAGAGGGGGAAAAAAAAACACACACACACACACACAACTACAACAACAATGTTATGACCATTTTCTAAAAAAAATATTTTTGGCAATATGTTGTGCTTGTTTCTAACATGCAAATTTATACTTTGATTGTAGATTGTAGATATTTGATCAGTTGTTACAGTATCATCAATTGGGAGCTTGGATGATACCTTCAGTAGTGATGTTTGAGCTCCTAATTGGATGACACTGTAACAGCTGATCAAACATCAACAGACTTTATGAATAAATCAAAGTATAGTTTGATATTGTATCTCTGTACAAATATATTATGTCATAATTTTTGATATGTACTCACAAAAAGTATGTTGAAAAGTTTTCAATAAAATGTGTAATATTGTGCCCAATGTTTTAAATTTTGTTGTGATTTCAATACCAATTATGGAAGGAATGTAGAATTAATAGGGTTGCTTCCTTGTGCCTTCTCTTAGACTTAAGGATAATACTTGTAATTTAATAGTGTGTAATTGAATGCATTACGAATACACACTTATTTGCAATCCCTTTTATGTTTTTAAATATTTCTGATTTATATGATTATGGAAGTTAGTAAGTTGGCCATCCAAAATGAAAGTCTTAAGCTATAACATCTAGATCCTACCAATCCTGACTGGTCCTCAGTGTCAAATAAAACCCAACCACAATAGCAGGTGCAGAAAATAGTATTATCCATGTAGTATTCCATCCACCACCTTGCACTTAATATAATGACTTCGCAATAAGGACCCTCCATAATGTCTGTCACATCATTTATATCAACAACTTGGCAATTGCACAAATCCGAAAACCTATAACCTGGTCTTCAGAAACTTCACAAGTCCTACCTCCCAACTAACACATCATAAGAAACATCCCAGATATTCCATTAAAAAACTCCCCTATCACTATTATACAACTTCCTCGTAATACCTAACACAGAGGTCTGACTAACAATATGACAAAACAAAGCCCCTTAATTTCCTATGACCCCTACAAATCAACTGCACTGTCACCAAACCATACCTCTCCACCTTAAAAAATGTTCTTATGGAATTCCAACCCTTATCCCATTCCTATTCCTGCCTCCTACCATGTCTCTGGCACCTTAAACAAAATACTCTGCCATACCAACCATCCCATTGCCAATTCTGCCCTTTTAAGGGGGAAGGAAACATCACAACCCAAAGCCAGAATTTAGGAAATGGAATAAAGAACCTCTCAATGGAGACAGGCATAGTAAAGAAAACTTACCTGCAGAGTGAGTTTAGTTTCAATTTTGAAACGATGCAATTCACAGTGAAATGCAAATTTTGTCCGTTTATTTTTAATCATTCTTGTGAGAGGAAAATTAGTCCAAGATATAAAAACTATCATTAAGCAATTCATCATTGAAACAGTAGATCTGGTGATTAATCCTCCCGATATCTGAATTATTGAAGATTTGAAGCTATGACAATTTAAAAAAATGTTAAATTTCATAATGTTTTTAAATGTAATTAATCAATTTCGATGGCCGTTTATGATGATGTAATTTTATGATTTTAACTTAGATGAAAGTTCATTCTTCGCTAAATTTGATATACTGGTAATGGAAATGAATATGTTTTATGTTTATATAATGTGGAGTGAGTGGATAAGTGATATGGAAACAGAAACAAGAAATATCACCAGACACAGAAATGGTAGAACTAGGTGATAAAGAACACAAAGAATCAGAAAAGCCCAGGACCAAACAATGTAAACATAGAATTAGAGGAATATGCAAGAAAAGATGCCCGCTTTCGAATTATTAGAAGCTGTAAATGAAATATGGACAGAACTAAAAATCCAAAGAGTGGCTACCCCGATTGGTGAAGAATTTTATAAGAAGGGGCCAAAAAATGGGAATGCGAAAATCATAGAGGAATTATTTTTGTCTTAATACCATGCAAACCACAGGTGGCAAAATATACTGAAAACAAACAGAATACATGAAAAACAAATGATGAAGGACAACATAGTTTTAGGAGAGGAAGAAGTACAATTGATGCACTAAATCTACTAACATTCTATTATTTGTAGATTATGAAAAAGCATTTTGAGTGCACTATTGTAAAAGGATTGGAGTCACCTTGTAGTATAAATAATAGAAAGCCTATAGCAAGAAGCAAAAATTAAAATACAAAACATGGATGGAAGCATCTCCAAAGCAATAGCCACAAGAGTAGGACTACAACAAGGATGCACACTCCACCCTTATTATTCAAACAATTAAAGAATGGGAGAAACAAACATAAGGAGAAATAATGATGAGACCCAACAAGAAAATAATATTATACGCCAATGATCAGGTGGTACTAGCTACATCTGAAGATCAACTTTAAAAAGCAGCACACAGACTAAATGGAATAGCAAAATAATACAAGGAGGTAGAAAAAAACAAAGGCAATAGCAACAGCAGGAAAATATTACTGCACAAAAAAAATTGTAATAGAAAAGCAGATAATTGAACAAGTAGCAACCTTTACAATGTTACTTATCTACGAAACAAAATATTGCTAAAGAAGGAATATTTTGAGACAAAAAGGGCAAAATTTAACAAGTTCAGTGGTGGAATAAACAGACACTTCTAAAACATGAATAAAAACTAAAATAAGAATCCACTACAGAATGGCAACCTTACAATAAGGCAGCAAAACAGGACGAGAAAATGAGAAACAAAGTAATGCACTAAAAACCAAGAATTTGGTCCCTGCAATAGAGAAATTTCAGACAAAATGGCAAGACCATTTAAAAAGAAGGCAAATAAGTAGACTTACAAAAATGGTAATGATCTGCAGACCAAGAGGAAATAGAGAACCTAGCAGTTCAAGGAAACAGTGGGAGGACCAGGAACACTTGAACTAGTGTAAGGGAATACTGGAAACAAGGAACAGGACTTGGGGCTTAAACTTTACTAATGACGATGATGATGCTGTGTCTCTTCATTTAACATTCTTGACATTGATAGTTGAAAGTTCATCCGGATTTACCTTACTTAATTACACAAGTAAGGGTTCTTTGTGCCATATTTTGTTGAGTCATTTTCTGTAAGTGATTTGATGAAATGAAATGAAACATTTATTGAGTATTTTTTACAAACATGGATATTTTTTATTCAAAAATATGGGAATGAAGAGAACATATAACAAATGACACAACCCACAAAACAGTAATTCACAGAGGTGGTTTGTAATAAATAAAACAACAAAATATTATTTTTCTTTAAATACAAGTTTCTTGTTGCTGCATGTGTGCTTTCCATGGTTTACACATACTTGCGACACTTGTTTGTCCATGCTTTTCATTACTTGTCCTGGATTCATACACTGTGCCTCTATTCCAGTTTCTGCAATTTCTGTTTTTGTGATTTAAAAGGGATTCTGTTTTTCCATTTGATGATATTACTACTACATCTGGTGGTGAATTATCTGAGAGATTGTTGTGGTATAATGCACAAAAATTTTCGATATGATCATTGTCTTTTACTGCAATTTCATTATCATGATAGGTAGAATAACGATTGTATCTTGATAAGCTGCGATTGTGACCATAAGTGGAACTTGTGTAGCAGATTGTGGTTTCTTGAAAACTTGAGTTATCACGAGAACTTGAACGTTGCACATTCATACAACATAACGTCTTGAAAAATGCATCCCTGTATCTTGCTGACATTACATTATATAAAATGGGATTCACTGTTGATGAGAAATAATAAAAACATCCTGTTATGTAGTACATCCATTCATTTATTTTCAAGTAATTGGGAGAGTCTTTTCCATAAATATATAAAAGCCGTTGTAGATGGAAAGGAGCCCAGCACAAGAAGAATGCAAGTACCACTGCAGCTGGAATGCAAAAAGGTAAATATATTAGAACATTTGAAAATGGCATGAACTTAAATTCAAGACACTGAATTTTAGGTGTTCTGTATGGTATTTAAGCAAACAATAGAGGCAAAAGGGTATAGATAAACTCCAGTCTATTCCCATCAAAAATGTACCAAATAAATATGTATCAAACTTCATGGGGACATTAAGTTTTGCCTCTTGTAAAATTGCTGCAAATGGAATGAGCTGCTTTTGATTGCAAATGCCTTACATAGTGCGATTATTATTGTATCAAATGAACACACAGAATTTAAAAAAATACTACTTTATTCATTAGTTCACAAAATAACTATAAAAACAATAAACTTCATTAAGGGCTTCAATGAAAAAATATTCAAAAGTTGAATGCCTGTAATGAACTAAAATTATTTTAGGTAAAGTCACATCCTTCATGTATAATATGCAGTTTGCCATTTGCTGCCAATAATCATTCTCAGGCTCTATTCAAATATTTAATAAATACCAATATTTTGTTAGTAAATAAATTGTTTTGTTTTCAAAAATGAGTTTCATTCTAAGAGGTGGCTGTGTGTTTACAGTGTTTGGAAATTTCTGTTGAACAAATTTTACTTTCTTGATTATATGTACATATAAAGTTTTGCAATGCTACAAAAAACCAATGTCAAGATTTTGGGATTCTTTAATAAGAAAAAAGGTAATTTTTTCAAAATGTCTGTCTGCCTGAATGTTCTAAATGAACCTAAACCTTACATGTTCTTTGATTGGCTTTTGAATTTTAAAGGAATTTTTATATTTTTATGGTACTTTACTTGAAAAACCTAGGACATTTTCAAAATTTTAACAAAAATGAATTCAAATTTTTTCATAAAACTTTTGCTTGATAGATCACATTTTATGAACAATATGGCACAGATATGATTTTCATTAAAACCTGTAGAATTTTGAAAATTGTGAAGTTCAAAATATTTTTCACACCCTCCTACAACTACATTATTGTAAAGATATTTTTACTTAATGGAATTTGTTCCTCCATATGAGGTCATTAAATAATTCCATGTTAACTTTTTCAAAATATTAGTTGTTTTTGCACAATTTTGATTTAATTGTTTGTCAAACCAGTCCTACGCTGTTAATAGTGAAGCTACAAATTTCTTTCTTAATGAATTCTGTTCCTCGTTATTAAATCTTTAAATTAGTTGATGTACAATTTTTTCAAAATATGAGTAAGATACATGATTCTTTTTAAGAATTTTCTAAAGTGATCGAACCAACAGTGTTAGAACATTGAAAAAACTTTCAAAATGCTGTCTCGTGGTGGTGGCAGTGAGCTCAGTGGTTGCTTGCTGGCATGCTAAATTGAAAGTCTCAGGTTTGAATCCTACCCCAAGTAAAATATATCTTTCTTTCTTGAACAGTATAAACCATGATCACTAAAAGTGCCATTTCCATTAAAATATTTGAATTAAAAAAAATATAAGATGTGAATTGCTTTTGAATCCCTTGGCATCATTTTGTCTGGAGTTTTCAAGAGAAGGGTGAAGTGTTAGTAAGACAGAAGTTGCAATATCCTAATAATTTGTAACTTTCACAATTTATACAAGAAAGAATGGGTATTGTAATACAGGAATGAAGTTCTAGTCGAAAAGGAAGGTGTAATTGGTATAATAAACTTCAATACCTTGATATTTATTTGATTAAGCCAAAATATAGTTTGAAAAATTTGCCAATTTGCCCACTATAATTTAATTATTATATTAAATTCTATTTAGTTGACTAATTAATTAATATTTAATTGACTCTTCCACTTGTGAAATTAACACCAAAGGCATTGAGCTATACATCTGGTATGCACCAATAAACCAGTATATCCTCCTAAACTTATAGCTTTTTATTACTGCCTCCTCCCTGCTGGCCTTATGGTACAATATGTCAATCATAGGAAGTGCTCTCAGGAGCACTGGGAGAGCAAATAAGTATAATATTGGCCATATTCTGAAATGCTTCTGCAGGTAGTTACATTCATGGAACAGTCTCTCTTATTAAATACCATTTGTGGAACAGAAATTTCTAATGCACTTGTATTATCTATGATAATATTAATATAATGTCTTACCTAACATTCTAATAATACTTTTACGGTTTTGGCTCTGCTTTATTTTGCGATGGATGGAGCCCTCTACTCTTTTACCAACACTGTGAGGTCTCCATATGGTAAGAGCCATTCGTACATACAAAAAAATCATTATTACCATTGGCAGGAAGAAAAATACTATGCTACTAAGCTCATACACTGGATAAATTGCTGGGATGTTTTCAGTGAGCATTGCACAAAAGCCAGATTCCTCAATTATTTTTCCAGAACCTATTAACAGAGAAAAGTACATTAAGAAAACCTTTTATGGTTTAATAAATTAATAGATATTTCTTTCAATAAATTTTTCTTAATACTATTACAAATAAAATACTTTTCGTATTCCAGCATTATAAATGAACTTTTCCGTTACAAGAACTTGGTTATAAAATGGTACCTTATGGTCCAGATTATAGCACATTTGGTGTTTATAGTATGAATAATTGTGTTATCACGTATTCAGCCAATCACAGTCAGAGAATTGTGGGGGAGGGGGTAACAGTTAAGCAAAGAGCCGACCACCTTTTTTCGCATAGATAACAAATACCCGTGCAGACACAATAAAGTTATTTTCCTCCAAAAAAGATTATCTTATAAATTATTATTATTATTATTATTATTATTATTATTATTATTATTATTATTATTATTATTATATTGTTATCAATAACAACAATAATAATAACAACAACTACTCCACCTAGGGAGTACGTGACCTTGACGTTGGTGGTGGAGCTTGAGTACCCTAATGACCTTGAGAGCTATGCCGGTGCTAGCTTAGCTACTGGTAGGACCTCCCTTGCCGGACAAGTCGATGGTGAGGGGACAGACAAGAAGTACGCCAGAAGATGAGGACCAACCTGACAGTAGGAATAAAATGCACCCATTAAATTTAATATGGAGACACGTACTAGAAAGAAAACCTCGAAAAATATACCGCTACCGGAAGAGCGTCGGGGCACCTTTGGAGCCATCGCTAGGGGTGACAGAATGCGAGCCGATGGTGACCAGGAGTTGTGCAGGCGGGCTCTGGTCGGGATACCCGAAATGCGACAGCCTGAAAGGAGCGAACCCACATCGAATGTCTCCGTGGCTGAAGGTGTTGCGCAGGTGCTACCAGTGCCCACCAAAGCAAGGCGGCCAACACAACGCAGGAAATGGCCAACGGCTGTTAATAAACAAACAATGCGGATCTACTAACGGATCACAAAAATTGACACAGATGTGACCGAATAAGGCAGAAATTACATAGGGAATTTCAACAAAGTTTTCCTGAATATTCCGTGACTGAACAAAGAGTGTCTGATCAGTATACAGTGATTCTACGTAACAAACTGATCCCTGAGACACGGCTCCAGGTTATTCAAATGGAAGTCAGGCGTGAGTTAGAACTGGATGAGGTTGTGGATACACAGCCTAGAGAATCGGAAATTAACCCAGATATCCACATAAATGTCCTTACAGCAGGTGATACAACTACAACTGAAGACGAAAGACTGGTGGAATCGCTGGAGATGGGAATGATTGAAGCTATGCTCCAATTTGAAGAGACTGACCCAACAATGAGACCAGCGTTACCTAAGGTTAATACGAGACGAATGGCACGTATTATAGATATAATGAATTGTGAGGTGCTACCAGAGAAAATTAAAATGGCGCAAAATTTACAGTCTCTCCACCTTATTATATATTATGCTGCAGTTGTAGTGGTGAAATAGCTGGGAATAAGCTGCGATGAATTGGCTGGGAAAAAGCAAACTGGTTGGATGATGCCATCTTGGGAGAGTCGTCTCGTCAGAAACATCGAAATACCAAGAGGTGGTATCGCCCGTATGATAAGTTATACCAATGGTATCCGATCACCAAAACTCGTAAAGTTGGTAGGTCGTATTATGGATAGAAATAAAATACACACTCGAAGAGATGAACATAATACGAGAGTACAACAGCATCGACACCCTGAAACAGAGACTATCAGTCTTGATAAATAGGTTGTTCAGATACAGAACAAGCAGAAGTAGGAGAAAAGATAACATTTTGTTTGAAAAATCTGAAAATAATTTTTACCGAAATTTGGGAAGACATCCACACTCATGGAAGACATCCACACGAGATGAACCAAGCGCATGTCGATATGAAAGCGTCCAACTTCTGGCTTATATCAGGACAAATCTTTCCAGAAACTGAAGGGTTTGATTCTGATGCGGAATATCAACCAGCTAGGTTTGAATGAAGACATGTACAAACTTATGCAGAAAGCAGTAATTATCTCAACAACAAGGATAGTCCGGAAATTCATGGGAAATGATGTACTAAGAATTCTTTTAAAAATAGATGTATTGTGCTTTGATTTCGTAAGCCTGTACAATAATCCATTTAAATGTACCAATGAAATGAGAAAATAAAAGAAATAATAATAATAATAATAATAATAATAATAATAATAATCCAGAACCGGTAACAGCTATCCTAAATACTTTCTCGAGAAAAAGAAGAACAAGTACTAGACTTTACAACCGATTCAGATAAGCCATATAACGTTCTTTTCACATGGAGATTTGCAAGACGCCATAAATGCAGGTGGAGACACCACAGTAGGATCAGACAGTATCCCTTACAGCATACTACGTCGGTACCGAAGGAATTACTGTTCACCTTGCTAAACATATACAATAACTTTTGGACACAAAGTAATTGCCCCAAAGTCTGGAAAGAAGCGATAATAATTCCATTGTTAAAGGAAGGAAAGGATCCATTGAAACCTGAAAATCATCGCCCGGTATCGCTGACATGTTGTCTAGGAAAAATCTTGGAAAAAATAGTCAACACTCGGCTAACATGTGTGTCTCGAAAGAAACAACCTTCTGAACATACATCAGTGCGGATACAGACATCACTCTACAATCGACCAGCTAATATATCTGGAAAACGCAATTTAGAATACCTTCATCAAAAGAAAACATACGGTTACCGTATTCTTTGACATGGAAAAAGCTTTTGATAGGCGATATAATGGCGATATTGGCGATATAATATTCTGAGACAGCTATATAACTGGCAAATGAGAGGAAATCTACCAAAATTCATATCCAGCTTCCTTAGTACCAGATCTTTCTAAGGTCGCGTTTGGCAGTCCATCCTAAAAAGGTACGTACTAGAGAATGGTGTACCGCCAGGCTCTCCATTGAGTGGTACGCTCTTTATCATAGCGATCAACGAGATGTTTGACGTCATAGAAGCGCCAATTGGAAAATGCATGTATATAGATGACATAGCTATATTTTACTCAGCCAAACAACCGGCAATGATCAAATACAAAATGCCAGCAATAAATTAGTACAGAGCGCAAAAAACATTGCTTTATCATTTACAGCAGTCAAAACCAAATGCGTTCACTTCTTAGAAAACGAAAAAGCTACAGATACATTAATAATTATATAGATAATTATAGGTAGGGTTCGCGTCTCCCACTTCGCCTCAGTCGCTAATCCTTTCGATTGTAATACACCATTTTAATTCCTTGTGTTATAGATTATTCTCCACGTGAATAAATGTTTTTTTTTTCATTCCAAGGGTAGGGAGTGCGGAGACGTGGGCACTTGGCATTGGGTCACCTGGCGGGTAGTCGACGTAGTGGACAGTGGTGTAGGCGGCGAAGGGCGCGGCGCTGGCCAGCGCCACCACCCACACGGCCGCGATGATCCGCAGCGCGCGCCGCAGCCCCTTCATGCTGTACGAGTACAGCGGGTGGCAGATGGCCAGGTAGCGCTCCAGGGAGAACGCCACGATGGTCAGCACCGACGTGTACGACATCCTGCGCACGCAATGTGTGCTGCACAACGAGGCAACAGCGGGCAGAAAGCGCTGAAGCAGGGACAATGCCTGCGCAAGTATCGAACCCGTTGCCCGCAGAAACGAACTCTCCGCTACACTCCCGCCGTAGCAACTTCAGTCACGGGGCCAGCGGGTACTAGGTGTAAGTTAACAAAAATGCGTGAAATAATGGAGGCATCACTTCTTCAAAGTGAATACGGGTATGCAATATCAATATAATATTGAAATTTCTAATTACTAGTCGTACAATCTCTCTAATAAATAGTAAATTGATGGTTAATTTTAACATCCTCTCACAACCTACGGACTGTGGTAATATTTTTCCGTATTACTGTCTGTTAATATATCTGCAAAACGCAACCCCTTAGAGGAATGAAAGGGTAATCTTAATGGCCGCCGGCCGTTAATTTCTTAACAGCCAGCGGCCGTTAAGAAGCCCAGTGATCTTCGAACTATTTATTAAAGTTCAATTTTTTGTGCAATTCAGTGAAACTAGCACTCCGTTGCTTGTGGTTTCTATATAAATAGTCAATGACACAAAAGCTCCGCTTTGGGGAGATAACTGTTTAGGGAAAACCCCCGCAAGCCAATTAGTAGGTTGGCGCCGGATCTCGCCATCCAGCGGGGCAAGATCACCACCACCTTCCACGACGAAAACATACATTACACTTACGGGACTAATGACAGCAGTTGACGCGTCCTGAATCACTAATAAATCAAAGAAAAACGTATAGTACTACGGAAACGTTTTTTTCGAATGGAAAGTAAAAAAAATAAATTTTTCTAAAACATGTAGTTGATATTCATTGAATAATGTTATACTTACATTTCTGAAACAACTGCACGCATTTTGCAAACAGTTTCACCGAGAGCCCACGGATACTGTTGCCAGTACACGCTTAGATCATTTGGGAGACCTAGAACAAACATTTGTCATTTACATCGATTTTGAATAACTAGTTAATTACGGACCTAAAACAAAGGGGAGTCTTTGGCGTACGAATGAAATGTTGATTCACTACAATAGGAGCAGAGTGCGGCATTTTGAAGTGAGTACGTCAAAGGCACTTTCGTACGAGATGCGTACATAATTTTTTTACTCGCACTTACTAACGAAAGAAGAGAAAGCATTGTAATCGTGCGCTCAAAAAACGCGAATTTTCGTGTATATATATACACACACACACACACACACACACCTCTTACACGTGGTGGATCCAAATTAATACTCTCCAATCGTTCTGGCTGATGTCGCGACCCCTGGGATTTAAAACCGTTATTTTAATTCTGAAGGGTTCTTTACATGAGATCTCTGGGATGTCTTCAAAATTTTCACAAAGTGGTTCTAAATTTTTTGATTAAATTTTGTTGACTTAGTGCGAAGGATGTTTAAGAGAATGAAATTAGACCTGCGTCATTTTTAAGACTCCGAGCATAAGATCTATCCGTTAAGCTATATCCGAGGAAATAATTGAAGCCACAAATTTGGAGCCAATTTGAGAAACGTTTAAAAATATTGAGGCTTCATACAAAGTACCACCCATAATCAAAATATCCATTTAAAATTCGGAGGGCCTCAAGTTTGTCTAGATTGATCGCAGATTCTCAATTTTGGATCAAATCGTGTGTGCCGTTAAGACGCTAGCGCTGACCACGTATCGACAGACAGATGTACACTAAACCAATTTTTCGGTACCAAAGACCCACAAAACATTGATTCAGACTACAAAAGGTGTTAGAGGAAGTAATTTGTTACACTGAGGAACAATATTTATTCACTTTCCGATTACAGGGCCCCACAATACGTTTTTTCTTGCGAAAAAATTGCCACTTTTCGCTGGCGCTATTCAATACTTTTTCTTCACTGAGCAAGTACGTTCTAGGCAAGAAAGTTAAAAAAAAGAAAAAAGTATATTTTTTTAACCTCTCGCCCTTTGTTTTCAAGTGATGTTTGGTGTATTGGAAATAAGTTTCAATGTTGTATTAGGCAGTTACAATACTCTCAGGTATTAGGCACCTCATCTAACATGCGAAAAAAGTCTGCTGATTAGCACTTATGGCTTAGAAACAGGCGGGAACGTAGGAACTGATATCGAACTTTCGTTTATCTTCCTACTCGCAATTAAATTTGAATTTTAGCAACACATTAGGTTATATTTATATCCCATTGTAAAACATCGCTCGGCGGTATTTTAACTCGTTGCGTGAGAAAGTGATGCTATCTATACCCCCCCCCCCAAGTTCGCGTTGCTTTTTTCGCGGCGGATCGCCTCGAGTGCACGGGAACAACCGCCGCCGCCGCCGGCGCCTCGACGCGCCGGGTCGCGCGCCTGTGTGCACTCCGATCCCAATTACCCCGCAGCCCAGCGAAAGTTAGCCCCGGGGCGCGCGGCGCGGCGCGACCCGAGAGCGCAGGCCAAGCCCTTCGGCCGGAGGGCGGCCCTGGCGATGGTGGCCAGCAAAGACTTTGCAATATAGTATGGTGGCCAGAGGGCCCTGCTCCGAAGCCGCCGCCGCCCACTCACGCAATCGACCCCTAGTTGCGCAGCAGGAAATCGGAATCCACAAGCACGAAGAAGCTCGGAAACAAACACAAGCCGCGACGTGTGGTATGCTGATATCATTTTGCGACCGGCAGACTATGTAACGCGGTTTCATACTTTATGCTCCGTAATCGGAATTCGCAAAGCAATGCGATATAGATGAAACTTTATTAATTGGGAGAAATGCGCAATGTGGTTGGGAAATTACAATAGTTTTGTCAAGGAATGCGCATAATAATGAGATTTATTTTTAAAATTAATTTACAGTAATTATATTGGAAATTCGCATTAATTTTACTTTCGCGAACCCGTAATGTAGAGAAAGTTCTAGGTAATCGTGCGAAAAATTGAGTCGACGTTTCGACGGAAAAATAAGTTTTAAGTCTTTGATATTGAAAGTCATTTTTTTTCAAAGCGTTCACCTGTCCGCCTGCCCGTCCGTTTTTTTTGAACGTCTATTCTTTAAAAATTATGCTCGAATGGAGCAAAATTGGGACTCTCTCATACAACTGCATTATTGTAGACCAGCTGAATTTGTTTGTCGACGCTTTAAACGGTTCTAAAAGTTTTCATATGTTAAACATTTCTACTATGTAAATTCTAAATAAAAATAAACTTTAAAAATACAGTTGTCTGTTTTTTATCCTCGTGCGTACTACATACAAATAATCTATAAATAATTAAAATTAAATAATAAAAATACAAAAAATGTGTGGATGCAACTCTTCTTGTCGGACTCCTTTTTTGGGTTACGACTACTATTCACCCCAGAATAGTGTTGGCGAACCTAATTCGAACGCACGACCGCAAGTTGTCAAGAATAATAAATTCTTTCAGTCAGTTACTCGAATATTATGTAAGGATCCATACAGGACAATAATGAGTACTCAACCAAAGTCGTCATTGTCGTGTGTTAATCTATACGTATCCGCAAGTGAAGCTTTGTAGATATGGAGGGCTATTTACTTCATTTTGCAACCGTCCCATTGGATTTTTAACTGTGGCAAGTTTTTAAAAAATTAACTGGGTCGGAACAAACTCCGGTCTGAATAAGTAAGACAGGTTACACGGATCAGTCCTCCGACAAATTCTATGAGGATGCTCGAGCATCACCTTAAAATGGTCCGTGGCTTGCGAGTGATACTTTCTTCCCCATTCTGTTCCCCAGGGTTAGGGGTTGAGAGCCAAGCTCCATTTGGAAGATTTCTCCGAACTAGAAATACTGGAGCAATACCTTGAGAACGCAAATTTGAGGCAAAGTCGAGACCAAGATGAAGGAAAAAATGAAAATATTTTTTTCATCATTAGAATCATCAGAAAAAGAAGAAAATAATTTTTATTGACAACAATAGTTCTTTAATAACATCAACGTATTAATTAAAATACATCACTCCAGATACAAACAAAATTAATGTGAAAATAGTGCTTTTTAACCAAATGTAACTTAACCATTAGACTAAATGGGTATTATTTTTTTGAACAACGTCTGCCCTCGTAATTAGGGAGGTATACCGCATAAAACAAACCTTTTTACGTCCTTCATTTCCAATAGCTTCGCTTCCCAAATTGTTGCTGTTAACGTCGATAATTCCGTGCAATCCAACATGCGCTAATTGCCACTCGTAATTCTGTCGCCTCTTTCGAGTGGAGCGCGCCAACCTGCCGGTGGCACGCGAGTGCAGCGCGACCTCGCGGACACCAGCCGCTTCCGCGCGCTCCGCCCCCGCCTGCACCCGCGCCTCCGATGGCCGCCAATCAGCGCAGAGGCCGTCACAATAATGGGACAATCAGAGCAATCGCGTTTGCGGGCAACCGGGGACGTCTGGAACGCGACCTGCATATCGCCGGGGAACTCTGCAGCTCAGCACCTGCTCTAGGGATTGCCCACGCGATGGCGAAGAGAATGACACGAGGTCTGTCGGGAAAAGAAGGTGATTCAATCTCTACAGTTTCAGTAATTTTGTTAGAAGACGCGCGCGTGGGGTTGATGGGTATTATCGCGCTTGTTCAGTGCTCTGGTTTAATATTCAATTTGGATAATTATGATTATATGGCGGTATGTTTTCCACTTTTTCAAAGCATGAACAGCCTGGTAAACTAAAAAGAAGAGAAATAGGCAATAGTTTTAAATGAAAAACAATTTTTTACTTAAAATAACTTTTATTTTTATAGAGAACAATGCTTGTCATACACCTTCATACACCTGTACGTACGCTCTTTCAGCTGTTGAAACTTTTACACGAGCTGTTGGCATCGGCGATAATATTCAGTTCATCAATAGATAATTCCTATTCGAATCTACCACGAGTGTTTATAAAATGAGGTGGAAAATGTATACAATATCAATACAAATTATTACACGCATCATATATTCGCGGCAGCTGAATGAAACTTCGATTGTGATTGACGAAAAACATAAAATTAGTGACTAATATATGAACATTTCTTATGCAATTCGTTTCGCCAATTTTTTACAGCTGTGCGAGATTCTAATATGTTTTGGAAAATATATAGTGTATCTAAATTTATTTATCTATAACGAAATACGACAAACCAACGAAAATCAATTTTCAGCGTGCAATTGGATCCTTTGCTGACGCCAAAAATGGAAGAAGCTGTAAAGATGAATGAAGACGCATTGAACTGAAAACAAGGAATGGAAAAAAGTCTTAACGTGTAGCGAGACAAAACCACCAGAAAAAGACTAGTGGTGCTAAAGAATATCACAGACTTTCCCGTATTAGTTTTCTATATCCTTTGGTCTCGGCTAGCTAAACGGACTTGCAACATATTCTTGTTAGCTGCCATCTATCGCCGCCCAAAGAACATTGTTTTTGACATTTTCTTAATATTTAGATTTCCTAATACTAGAACGGAAATATTATGTTAAGAATATTATAGATCATTAACATCTCGTTCTAAATGGCAATTTTCTTTGAAAATTTCAAGCCGTTTTTAAGAAAATAACGCTTAAGCGCTATTGTAGATTCGAATTTTTATGCTCTTTTTCACAGAAAATTTTTGAGTTTTTGAAAAACTTCATTTGAAGTCATTTGAAGCACTTTAACTCACAAATACAATCGTGTTTACTAATGGTTGCAACTGTCTCTTATTAAGGTCGTGAAAGTTAGCGTATTTAACATGCTTTAAGAGGAATTTTGATTAAAAAAAAAAACAAAAATCAACCACTGAATGAACCTTAACATTCGTCAGTTAAGTGTGCAATTAGCACAGTCCGTTGTTTTCTAAAACTTTTACATGAAACATTTCTTTTGAAATCAATTACCAAGCATGCTATAGCTTTTCAAAAGATGGATTTTTTTCATTTCTTCAAAATATCTGAGAAAGTACACGTTTGTGATATGTTAATCAGT